CTATTCAGGTTGAAACAACCCTATAGTCTAGTGAGGTTCCTTTAGTGTGTGTGTATATATATACGGACTATTAGTTACTGTTGGGTTGACTAGGATGTATACGTGTATCGGATCTCTGCTTGGACTGTAATAGAGTAGAACTTGTTTGTGGGCCTGACCCACCATTATTTTTCAGGTGTTCGTCAGGAATAAAGGTTGTTCGTGCTGAGCGGGGATCAGTCTACTTCATTCTTCCGATGCTACATAGGAGTTCCTTTATGATTCAGTTTCCTGATTTAGACAGTTATTGCTGTCATTTGTTTAGTTTGGATTTTCTAGGGGTCCACACAATATGGATTCCCGAGTTGTATTTTGGAGGATCAGTTGTATCAGAAGAGTTTATTAATTAATGAAAATATATTCTGAGGTTTATTATTAGATTATCATTTTAGTTTTTTGTCAGCATTTTATTTATTCTTCTTTATTCTTTTGTACTCTGTGTTCATTTATTATTCATTTGTTTTGATATCCTCGGGTATTCGGGCGTGGGCCTGACCAACCCGCATTCAAAAATCCGGGGGTATCACAGTTTGATGGCTACCGGTGGGATTAACGGCTGCCAGCTTAGCTTTGGATGATGGTGGCCGGCGGTGGAGAGGATGGCTGTGGATCGGCTGGTCTTCACCGAATAGTTTACTCATCGTCGCCGTTGTCCGGTTCGCTTCTCTTCGCCGTCGCTGGAATTGGAAGTAGAAGGTCACATATCGCCGCCGTGGTTTTGTGTGGCTTGTTTGATTTGTGATCAATTTTGTGGTTTTATTAGTGGATCTGCGTGTTTGGTGCAAAACCTCTAATTCATCTTCATCTCTTTCTCTCTCTATCACACACACCAATATGAAAACAGAATAATCAATTACAGTGTTTGGGGACTGGATTGGAGGCACTTCTAATCAAAATTTTGTTTTGGTTATTCCAAATTTGGAAAATATATTATTTTCTCTAACACAACAAAAATGGGTTTGGGTTATGCAACCACAGTCGCCGGCGGCACCACAACCACCACCCCCCATCATCGCCGACCACCAACCACCAACCACCAATCTTTCTTTACACTTTCTTTTTCTCTTCTGCAACACTCAACTTTTGGAACCACCACCCACCACCACCACGACGGCCAACAGCACCATCTACCCAATGCTCATTCATTGTCAGGGGTATAATTGTCTTTTAACTAATCTGATATTTTGAAATATATGTTATTAAAAAAATAGGGGCAAAGTTGTCTTTTTACATGTTTTTAACGGAGACTGTGACAGAAAAGCGAAAATGGACTTAAGTGATAGTTATTTTCGAAAGATGATTTAGACTAATATTTGGCCAAACTTCAGGGGGTGTCAGTGAAATTATCCCTTATTATTATTATTTTTGGGGGGTTAAAATTGGTAAAAAAAAGTACCACGGATTGTAATCCCAAAGGTATTTAACTCTAAATTGTCAGACCTTTCAAGCCCAAAATTTGATGAAGTTCACCAGCTTTTTTTTAATTAGGTATGTAATCAGAAATGCGCTCTTTCTCTCAAACACCTTCCAAGTTTTAATTTGGTCCAATCAAGTCCCTCTGACACATTTAAAACCAAACTTAATTAAAGTACCCTTAGTCAACAATTTTATAAAATATATAAAAATACAAAATTTTGTAAAAAGACCAAAAAGGACTCATTTTGCATACCCATTCTGTAATTCAGTCTGGGTTATGGCAGACGAAAGAGTGGTGACCATGAGTATGAAATTGGTGGTGTTAAGCGGCAGTATAGAAGGCGGAGGGCGGTGGCACTGCTTCGTGGGGGTATCAGGCGAGCTTGAGATTATCTTCTTGGACCCCCTCGGCGCAGGCCATCAAGCTGTGGATAAGTCGAAATCCAGTCTCCTGTAAATCCAAGAGCACCACCAGCTGCCATGGCTCCATTGCGGCAGCTCCAAATTCTGGAATATGTGATACAGGCGGCAGAATTCTCAACGATCATAAGCAAGCCAAAACGCAAAATTCTCAACAAATATGTATTGATTTGCAAAATTCTCAAAAATCTCAACAGACCCGGATCACAAGTAACCCAATCACAAGAATTGATTTGCAAAATCCAATCGAAAGCGAACCCAATTGCAAAACCCCGTGAATATGTTTTCACTATCACCAATAGAATACCAAAACATGAAACTGGGATTTAGCATAATTTAACGACAAAATCAAGATTAAAGAGATTAGAGAAAGTGTCCAAGGATTTTTTGCTACCCGCCGTTTCCACCTCCGACCGTCCCAATCGCCAGCTTCGGCGAGAGCCAGAAACCCCATTATCGGAAACAACAGTGAACAAAGATGGTGCAGGGAACTTGGAACGGCGGTGCAACGACGGTGACAGAATGGACTGGTTGTGACCTTGTGTGGCGGCACCAGCGAACAAGGAGAAGCTCGGTTGTGAGTGACGGCAAGCTCAGCACTGATGATGGAGGCGGCGACGAGCTCAACTTTGATAGAGCGACGTCAGGGAGAACGGACGGTGGTGAGAATGGTGAGAAGATGGGCTCGGCTGTGGAGAGCTCGGCCGTGGATGACTCGGCCTGTGGAATAGGCGGCTGGCGAGCCAGGGAGGGCTCGGCGATGACATAGGGTAGAGAGAGGGATGGATATTTTGGGAAGACTAAAAGGGCAAATTGGGTATTAGAGTAATAATGCGATGGATATTTTGGGAAGACCAAAAGGGCAAATTGAGTATTAGAGTAATAATTTATGTCAGATTTCTGCATAGGGTTAATTTTGTACAATTTCAAAAGATTAGGGGTATTTATTGCATACATATTCAAATAGGATGTAAAAATACTACTCAAAGTATACTTGAGGGGTGTTTCCTGCACTTACTAATGGTGGGCAAAAAATCCGCCAATCCGCGAACCCGATCCGATCCGATCCGTATGGATCGGATCAGGTTACAAAAGTCACGGATCGGTGGCGGATTCTAAAAATTTGAATCCGTAGTCCACGGATCGGATCACGGATTAGGCTGTCAAAAATCCGATCCGATCAGTGACAATCCGTGGGTAATCCGTAACATATATATATATATATATATATATATATATATATATATATATAATATATATAATATTAATATATAGCAACTCTATCCGTGGCAATCCATGTGCCACATACCCGACGTTTTTTATTTTTTATTTTTTTTGGTAAGTATTTACTGATAGTCTACAGTTTGAGGAGATTCATGGAAATTGTTCTGCTACCCTTTTTTTTCACTGCACTGCTAATCAGCTACTTTTTTTTTTTCACTTCACTGCTACTTTTGGACCTTTGGTTGTGTAATATTTGGCATATGGATCTGCTATCCCTTTTTTTATTTTACTTCACTGCTACTGTTATGTAATATTGGCATAGTCCTACTGTTTTTTCGGATAATTTGAATAACTACTATCCTCTTGGTTATGTAATATTTTACAGTTTGATTATTCTTGTTATTATGCATTTAAATTGGGTTAATCTATGTTCTATTTTACACTTCTATAATTGAATATGAAATTGGTAAAAAATTAAAAATAGACTAATATAGAAAATTTAGTCCGCGCGGATTGGATCCGATCCGATCCGTCATTTCACGGATCTGATCCGATCCGAGCCGTGGACTAACGAATTGGTAGCGGATTCAACATTCTCCAATCCGTTGTGAGCGGACCGGATTAGGAATGATGCCTAATCCGATCCGATCCAATCCATGGCCACCCCTATCACTTACCCATATATATATATTACCTATTGTCTCAATTCAAGTTCAATTTTGGCTTTCCCTGGTCACTTGGTGTTACTTTAACCAAATTTTGTCACTCTCCACTCATCAATTTTTTCAAAGGTTTCTATCTTTATTTTGATAATTACTTTTTATTGTTAATAGGTGATAATGATAAAATTAAATATAAAAACTAAAAAAAGGGTGAGAGTAGTTTTGTGTTAAAAAGAAATATCGTAGGTGGGTTTGAAAAATGACAATCTAACAGTTTATATAAAAAATAAATTAATTTTCTTATCCCATGAGATCAAGAGATCAGGACTCTAAATATATATATATATATATATATATATATTGGGATAAAAGAAACCGTTTTATGATATGAATTTAAAAATCTGTTTAATTCCATTAGCTTTTGAAAGTATCTAAAAGACGAGCTTTGTAATAATATTGGAGAGAAAAAGGCAATTAGTGGCACAATAATCTCTTATTATTTTTTAATACCCCAAACTTATATTTTCATGTCTACTCAACCTATATTCTAAGAAAATCATTGAATTTAGATTGGAAATAGGCAAACAACTCCTTGCGCGTCTCCTTACCCTCTTAACTTTTTAGAGAAGCCAAACAAAAAAATCAAGTATGTTATCTTGACAACTTCTATAATCACCATCACCACCTTTCAAAAACAACTTTCTATTTATTTATTTATTTTTACATCACTCTTCTTGTCTGACTCCATTTAAATGGGACCAAGTAAAGAAACGTCTTTAGGACAGCACTATCACTATCACATTTTTTTAATTAATGACCATTTAAGTGGACAATAAATTCTCTTTCGTTTTTGCGAAGAAAGCGTTGGTGGGCACATTGGTCATACGAATGAAGAGTGACCAAGGAAGTCCAAAAGAATCTATTATCTATAGAAAGTTTCTCAGAAGAAGAAAATATATAACCGAGTACTTTAAAACCAATTAATGGGTAAGAACCAAAGCCAAACAAGAATTAATTTGATTTATTTGTCAAGGTAAATAATTTAGAACAAGTTAAACAATCGGCCAACAAATCATTTTTCAAAACGAAAATCTAAACAAGAAAAGAAAGGAATTCACAACACACATGCATAGAAAGTTACTCACTACTTCCACCGTGTTTTGGCCGGGGTGTGGAACTAACCCTACCCTTATATATATATATAAACATAAACATATATGTATAGAGTATAGACACACACATATATCATCTTGTACCTCTCTTGGGAATCTATAAAGACTCTTTCTTTCTCGCTCCCTAGCTCCATGCCATTTCTTTTTAGCAGAATTGACATGTTACATATTCTTCTTGTATTTTCTCTTTCTTTCTCAGGTACCCTCTTTTCCTATGATGTCCATAATTATTTTCCTTATAATCTTTTGTTCATTTTCATTTTGAGTTTTTTCTTTCGACAAATTAATTTGTTATCTTTTTCTTGACAGGTTTTAGTTTTCTCCAAGAAGCCGAATCACTCGGCATCAACTACGGCCAAGTTGGCAACAATTTACTAGCACCACAAAAAGTTCTTGATCTCTTACAATCCCTCAAGCTCACAAAAGCAAGAATCTATGACACAAATCCTCAAGTCTTGACGGCATTTGCCAACTCCGGCGTTGAACTGATCGTGACAGTAGAAAACGAAATGCTACAGGTTTTAATTGATCCACAACAAGCCCTTCAATGGGTAACTACCCACATAAAGCCATTTGTTCCGGCCACGAGGATCACCGGAATTGCAGTAGGCAACGAGGTCTTCACCGGCGACGACACCACATTAATGTCTTATCTTGTGCAATCCATGGTCAGCATTCACGGGGCCCTAGTTCAACTAGGACTAGATCAACAAATTCAAGTTTCAACCCCTAGTTCACTGGCGGTGCTGGCGGTTTCTTACCCGCCATCCGCCGGAATTTTCAGGAGTGATCTCGCCGGAATCATTCCGGAGTTTCTACAGTTCTTGTCAACTACTAAAGCACCCTTCTGGATCAATGCATACCCTTATTTTGCATACAAGGATGACCCCAATAAGGTCTCTTTAGAGTATGTCCTTTTTAACCCCAATTCAGGAATGGTTGATCCAAACACAAAACTACACTATGACAACATGTTATATGCTCAAGTTGATGCAGTTATATTTGCTGCTGCTAGAATGGGGTTCGGAGGGTTAGAAGTTAGGGTTTCAGAGACCGGGTGGCCGTCGAGAGGCGACTCCGATGAAGTTGGGGCAACGGTGGAGAATGCAGCAACATATAACCGGAATTTGTTGAGGAGGCAATTGGGAAATGAAGGGACACCTTTGAGGCCTAACATGAGATTAGAAGTTTATTTGTTTGCTTTGTTCAATGAGGACTTGAAGCCTGGACCGACTTCGGAGAGGAACTATGGTCTCTATCAACCTGATGGAACCATGGCTTACAATGTGGGACTTTTGGCCTTGTCCAGTTCTTCTACCGAGGCTTCGATTTCTCTTACTTCCTCTGCAACTCCGGTAATTAACACCATAGACTTTTCTCTTCTACATAATTTTTTCCCCCAACACTTAGCATAGATTATGTTACATGAAAATATTGGGTACTGTATATATCTTATAGTATGTTGTTACGACGGTAATAATTTTATATATTGGGTTATAAGAGAGTCTATAATTCAGGTCATTTTTTTTAGATGTCACGTTTTACATGACAAAATTCAGACCACAACTTCACTTTTCTTGTTGGTTTTCTATTTGTTTGGGCTTTCTGAAAACGCAGGTTGCAAAGCTGGGATACCAAAACTTGGTGTATTGGATGTTTGTATATTTGATGGCGATACAAGTTTTTAAGAGAAGACATTGTTATTAAGCAATTGGGATTCATGTGAATATGAAGAATGACCTTTTTTTTGGCAAGTGAGAGGCCTTTCTACTCCTCAAGAACACGCAAATTAGTGACACCCAAACAAGAATATTTCAGGTAACTAAAGGTTTAGCCAATGTTGATGGGTGTACGTGTTTCCAGATTTGGATTCACAATCTAATGGATACAATTTCATCCGAGGGTCCAATGATTGAATCACAACCATCAATTAGTAGGGTCTGATAAGCTTCATTTTTCTTTTTCTTTTTTTGTTAGAGATGGGACAAAGTCCGTCATTGTTCAAAAGAATGAGTAGATCGACGAATTGTTTTCCAATTTACTTTTGACTTTTAAGAATATATATGTATTTATGTATATGTACGTTCTTTGTGGCAATAAATATACTATTATTAGAGAAGAGTGAGAAAGACCTTTTAAGGCTCTTTTGTAGTGGTTGCAAGGAAAGGTGGCCACTTCCAGACGTGGATTCCATAACTGTTCTTATATTTAAATGCTTCACTTATTCTTTGCTATCCTTCTCTCTCTATATAGATAAAGATTTGAATCAGTGTATATATTGATAAGAAAAATAATATCCGCAACGAATCTATTTACCGAAAGTAGTCAACAAAAGGTCTTACATACAGATTTTAGATTTCATGAAAGGTAGGATCCATGCGAGTCTCACTTTGATCCATTTTATGTAAAATCGAGAAATTATTGATAGTCCTATATATTGATTCTTTGATTGGATAAATTAGATTGTATGATAATATATTAACTATAAAGAAATTTTAATGCTAATTTTGATTTGATTAGACAATTGCAGAATCATTTAATAATTTATCCTATAATTAAATTAAGTCTTAGGTTTTATTATCACCTTTTTTATTTTTATTTTTTATAATTTAGTGTATACAAGTTAAAAGGTTGGGCTTTCTTTGGGATACTTTTAGGACATTGGGCGATCCAGCTTTATTCCCGGGCATAACCGTTAGCATCTCCCACTGTCATCCTTTTCTGAAAAGACCTTTGCATTTTCTATGTGCATATGAGGTGTATACAAAACACACACAGATATATATATGTATGTAATGTATGTAATATGTATGTATATCTTGGTGATCGAGGATGGCCTTTTATCTCACATCAGCAAAAACATATTGCACATGCTGCCAAACAAGTTGGGCTTTAATTTGTTTGAACCCTGTTAACTAAAACAATACACGTCGATCTAGTGACTGGATTGCTATTGTAGCCTGGCTTTTTGGTTGCTTTCTGTGCCTCCAAATGACATGTTCTAGTGGGCCAAATGCTCCATTTCACACTTGTCCAAGCATGTGTACATGTCGGTGGCATGTATATGTATACATATGTACATAGAAAAGAGACTCCCATCATTAAAAACAATTGTTGCAAATTTAAAAATTATAAACACTAAAATTTTAGCGGGCTTTGATTTTAACAAATTAACCCATTAAATATGGATTAATATTTAATTAAGTTATTTAATTAGTCCAAGTTGGTCCACTTAAATTATTTGATTAGTCCAGCCCAGATGATTAAATAAAAAGATAATTATTCCTAATAAAATTATTTGGAATAATTATTTTAAAGGATAATTATCATAATGTAACCGGTCCAGCCCAGTTATAATTTTTTCCTTATGAAGAGAGAACGTGTCATCATCCTATGAATCCAAGAAGCCTATAAATAGAGACATGAATGAACAAGAAAAGGGTACACAAATTTAGAAAATCCGGGTTCAAAAATTAAGAGTCAGTTTGGTAGAGTGGAAATGGGAGGAAAGGGAAGGGTTTGGAGGGTTAACTTGTGCCTTCAACAGTAAATTTCTTAACCTCCTAAAAATGGGAGGAAATGAAGGGAAAGGGAAGGAGAGGCTTGTGTGTGATTTCAGTTGCCAATTTTGCCCTTGAGAGTTAAGAACGGCGAACCCGAATTGGAACAGCGTGGGCGATGGAACTAATATGGGTTTTGATTTTTTGAACAATCTAAAATTGGGTTTTGATTTTTTGAACAATCTGAAATGATGCCGATATGGGTTTTGAAGTTTTGATTCTTGCAAACAGAGATAAACTGAAAATATGTGGGTTTTGAATTTGAACAATCTGATAGTGCAGAGAGAGAGAGAGAGAGAGAGAGAGAGAGAGTTCAATGTTGAGAATGAGAATAGAGATGGAGCGAGATTGGGGAGGCTGAAATGATTTGCCCTATTTTTTTTTTTTTTCTTTTATTGTGGTCTCAAGTTAAGACTATATATATATATATATATATATATATATATATATATATATATATATAATAGAGATGGAGGCGAGATTGGGGAGGCTGAAATGATTTGTCCTATTTTTTTCTTTTCTTGTGGCCAGTACATAAGACTATATATATATTTTATATTTTAAAATATAAAAAGGTATAATAGTCAATTTATTAAAATAATTCACTTCCCTTTCTTTTCTCAAACATAATTATTATCCTTCCCTTTCTTTTCCTTCATTAATCAACCAAAAACGATAAGAGGTTAAAATTATCCTCCCTTTCCCTTTCCTTCATAACTAATATTATCTTTCCCCTTCAAACCCACCCTACCAAACATAGCCTAAGAGATTAGAAATTCAGAATTTCAGAGAAAAATATAGAAAAATCCAAAGCGACCACCAAGCACATCAAATCCAAAGACGTGAAATCGTGCCGTCTTCATCCAATCAGAGGACCTTATTCTTTGTAAAGAATATTACAAGGGTTGTACTCCAAATTTTCTAAATTAATAAAATATTATTTTTGCTTCATATTTTGTTTTTATTTTCAGATAATAAAATTTGTTTGTACAAAGATCTCCAACTCACAATTTAGCAATTGTGTTCTATGGAAAGAGATATCAGAGGAGTGGGGTGAGAAGGAAAACGCATGGTTGTGATGCAAATTAATATGAAACTAAGATTAATTAGTATTCCCACCCTATCTTTTGCAAAGAAAATGTCCAAACTGGTGGTGGAGATGCATGCATTTTCTTCAGTGCAACAATTTATAATAAGAGTATACATTGATTAGTCTCCCACCTTGTTTAGGGATAATGATTAGACTCTTAACTTTAGGGATGAAAGCCTTTCTTTAATTAGCATAATTCGTGGAAGATGCTTCCATAAAGCCATCTCCTTTTTCTCTCGGTAGTTTTCGACAGTTGTATTCCAAAGTATCGATTAATTACAAAATTAGATAAGTAGTAAATAAGAAAAATGAGTGACTTTCATTTCTTTCTTTTTTTGAAAAAAAAAAACTGAATATAGATGCTTTCTTTCACAAGCGAACTGGTTATAGTGGGGAGTGATTTGGTGCTTCGTAATCACTATGGAGAAGCTATTAAGGTGGTTACAGTGTTGAGGCTTTAGTGCTCAAGATGGTTTGAAACTTCTTGGTTAATGTGGATATTTAAATGTGGATGTTGAGTGTGATTGCCAATAAGCGATTTAACTTATCCCTATAGACCTTATATGTTCAGTTATTATTCAAGATATCCCGTGCTTTGATAATACTCTTATAAGATTGGACCACTCGTATAAGATTGGACCACACCAATGATAACCGGTGAATAGGTAATCATTATCTATAAATATATATATATTTTTTGTGTGGGTAATTTAATAAAAACAAATTCTTAGACTTCGGAATATTATTTTGAAGAAGTTTGAACAGATATGGCGACACTGTATTTGGGCCAAACTAGAAATTTGGGCTCCCACTTTCTCATGGCACAACGTTGAAAGTGAAGCCTGGTCTGACCCAGAAACGTTATCATTGATTATAGGATTATATAATTTATCTAATCAATAATAGTAGGACACGTGGACCTTGCAAAATTATCACCTTCTAAATTCATTTAAGTATTAGTAAGATATATGAGGTCATTAAATTTATTGATAATTTATTTTTGATAAAACAGTAAATTTAAAAATATAAATACTATATAATGGGCCATCACCTCACTGAGTCAGTAAATTCTTGTTGAGTTCCTCGCGCTAATAAAATTCTCTCTAAAATTTTTAGACTTCGAACTTCATCGTCAAAACTCTCTCTCTCCCTCTGCAATGGCGCTTCCATCAGGATTTCGTGAGAGGCTGGAGCAGATGGAGCAGACCAGAAACCAACGCCTCTCTCTCCTCCAGGTCCTCAATCACCATTCAACTCTCTCTCTCTCTATCTATATGTATGTGTATGTATTGTATATATTACAAAATTGCTCTAATTTTATGCAATAAAAATGGCAGGCCGAAAAAGAGCTACAAATCAACAAGTCTCAAATCTTAGCATCCAAACTTTCCAACATCAGATCCATGGAACAAAGGTGCTTGAAGCTCGATTACAAGATCGCATCGCAACACTTCATCATCTCATCTCTCAATTCCCAAATTGACTCCCTCGATTCCAACAACCTCCACAATCTGCAACAATTTAGGTATTTTTCACCAATTCCATCTCTCTCTCTCTCTCTCTATGTATATATATACACACACATATATGCATAGAAATAGATGCAAATGAATTGAATTGGTGGATAGTTTGGTTGGTATTTAGGGTTTTGAAGAGTGAGGTGGAGGAGCTGGAGGAGTTGGAGAAGGAAAAAGAGAGGTTTTATGGTTTAAAGATTCGTGAAATGGAGGAATTTAGGGCACAAGTGGAGAACTTTGTTGTCGAGTGTGGAATGCAAGTGCAGGAACTGAGGAATATCGTGAATGAGGTAAGAGGATTTTCCATTCTCTTGCTGTTTTCAATTCGTATTAATGAGTTACGAAATGTTGGTTTACATCACTTTTATTTATTTATTTTTGCTAATATAGTCTGGCATTTGAAATTCTGATGATTCTTGAGCATCACCATGTCCTTACAGTATTAGTTTACGTCTATGTGTATGGATATGATCTATTGCACTTGAACAATCTTAAAAGCTATGCAAGTACTATTTATTGTGCGCATATTTAAAAAGTTCTTCATACTATTTTTCATGTATACACCCTTAATCTTGAAGAGGAAGCTGTAAAATATCCCAGGAGTTAGAAAACTTAAATAAAAAGGTAGAAGAATCATAAACTTAGTTGAGTGATTGCCTCGTTGTGTCGAAAGAAAAAGCAACAATAATGTTTGACTGATTATTAGGTGTTCACTGAATAACTTACTGGGCTAATTTGACTTGTTTTGGTTGTGTTGACCCAACTGAATTTTATGATTTCAATATCTGTCAACTGAATTTCAGAAGAATAGAAAAACTGTTTTTGAATGGTGAAAATATTAATTTTGATAAACATGATGTCATGGCTCAAAATTGTTGATTTCTTGGTACTATTTGATGAAACTGAGAACTGCAATTGGAATGGCTTATGGGAACCAGAATGAAATTTAGATTCCTATTGGATTGGCTTAAGAGAATTACAGCATTCTTGTTAGTGTCATTTGAAATCTACAAACAAGTGGGATGGTCAGAGAAAATTAAATCTTCCTTTGATTGTTCTTGGTGTAGTCCCATATCGACCTTTTGGCCTTAACCTTTGTAACGAGGAAGGATTTCCTCCAATATCTACTGATCGTCATAAGCTTATTTGTTATCAGATCTTTCTTAGTAGTTTGATCATTTTTTCAGCTCAAGTCAAGTTTCATGGAACTTCAAGGCAACAATGGATATTGGAATAATTCTGAGATAGCTGCTGCTGAGATGAGAAAATCTGAACTTTTAGCAGAGAAAGAGAAGTTGGATAGGAATTTAGCTTCCAATTGCCAGATACGAGAACAGTTTCAAAAGCAGCTTCACAGTATATTGAATACCCAAAATCATGGGAAAAGGAAACTATGCCAACTTCCTCAAAACAAACTTCTTGAACAGAAAACTCCCTGCCCTCCAAACCGGACATGAAGGTCTCCCCTCATCCAGCTCTCTGCTTAGTATTAGAAGAGAAATCAGTCAACAAACATTTGTATAGAGATTAGTGGCTAAATCTCTTATTGAATTGTTTGCTTTACAAAATGGTTGTAAATGGAATATTTTGCTACAATTCTATGCTTTCAATATAACAAAGAGAAAATTAAGACTTCTTTCAGTTTTTTCCTTTACATGTTTTAAATTCAATGAGGACACGTGTCCTATTATTGTGTTGCACCAGTGGTTTGGAGGAGGTTTTTTCTTATAGGTGGGGGGTTGAGTATTGTTGATTTGTTCCTAAGAAAATATCTAGATGAAGGAATTTTTTGTGAAATTGGGTTCAGGTCACTTGCACAAGAGTCAGATGGAAAAGACTAAACTTTTAATCCCTGAAAACTAAGTCAAAATGGACAAATTTGGGTAAAAGCAGTGAAAACTTTGTTTCTTTACATACTCCAAAATGGAAGTTTGATATGTCGAAGTATGTGGGACTGGACTGGATATTGAAATGTCCAGGGAAAAAAATCCAGGCTGTCTAAATACCACCATAAATTTGAGTAGTTCAACATATGGATCCCATCTTTTAAATTTGTTGTGTGTGGTGAAAACTGAGTGTAAATGGTCCAGATTGGAGGGAGAGCTTATGATGATGAATCAGATATGTTTATTTGATAGCTTACTTGATGTGTTAATAAAATTATTTTTTCGGACATCAATTAAACTAGAAACATGGTCATTGTCTTAGGGTTATATGTCATCCCCAAGAATCGATCATTTCAATTCTGTAAAGGGGATATTCCTCCTTTAGGCATATTTCCTAGGAACAAAGTGATTGGAACCTTCACTTAATGGTTAAAATGGATCGAGTTATGATAATAGGAGCCAAAATGATAAAAGCAGATTTATGGTGAAATTTAATTTATTTTTTTAATTTGAATCTATGTTTTACCCCTTTTATTCGACAGTTATTGAAATTAAGAATGAAGACACCATCAAAAGATGCATTGCCTTACCATATATTGCCTCTGGGGGGGAAAAAAAAAAGAAAGTTTTTTGCCCTGTTTCTGTTCTGTCACCACCAACATTGTTGTTTTCTGAGTCTTGTGACACATTTTTTTTTTTAATGAAGCACCTTTACTGTTGACTTGACTATTAGAATATAAAAAATACAGTGGAGTTTTCACTCTTGTAATATTATTGGACTTTCTCACTGCAAGACATCTTTAGATCTCCTTTGGTAAATTGATGCATACATGCAGACAGGTATTGTGGTTAGACTGTGCTTTTATTAATATATTACATGTGAAATTGGATTTTAGAGCTTCTGGGAAGGGAACTGAACATGTTTGCGATATTCTCCAAGTGCCCACATCGGGAAAATGTTCCTATATTGTGCATAATGCAGCATACAATTCTTCATGTAGACTCCAGTAATTTCCTGTGATGACAATTTTATGGTTAGCAGAAAGAACTAAATAAAATATGAAACTCAAGAAGATAACTAGAGAGAAAGCAACAGTAGAGAAACCATTTTGGCAAATGCTAAAAGTTATTGTATCTAAATTACCTGTTGCGGAAAATCACCATCATCTAACTGTGCATTAATTAATAACTTTGCTGCTTTATGTAAAGGTGTTGGATCTCTCTCAGCCTTATTAATAAGAGAAAAACCCAATAAAAAGAAGTTAATCATTTATTTTGGGGACGATAGAGATGTTCAACTTGCAATGTGAATATGACACCCGAAAAAGTTGGAACTAACCTGTCCACCTAAAATAAGACCCATCATAGCCCAAGATGTTTGTACTATGTTTGTCCTGTTTCCTTCCAGCGGTGTGAATTTCTGCGTCGCACGAACATTAACATTAATGTGGATAGATAAATTTTTGGCGAGTAATTTTATTGCTTCATGACATTGTTAGGCTTTACATCGGGTAGGGCACTTACCATACTTGGGCATGACTCCAGATCCTCTCCCCATCCTCCCTCTTCATTTTGTACTGAAAGCAAAAACTGAACTGCTTTGCGAACTGCTGGGCTGTTGTTATATGTGTTCCCGGCAGAAGCAAACCCTCTCAGCACGAAAAATGTGCCATAGATGAAGCAAATTCCCCAATAGCCATACCTGTCAATATCATAATATGCATGAAATTAAATTGCCATAATTCTTCCCTTATTTTCCGTTTAAATTTGATAAATGCCTTTCGATTTACCATATTTGAGAAGAAAGTGAACTCACCAAGAACCGTCTTGCCATTGTCTCTCTTCAAGAAAATGTAATGCCCTTTCCACAGCAATGTTTATTTCTTTCTCCCGATGCCCCGGATGTAAACGTTTGAACAATATTAGAGCTTGTATTACAGACGCAGTGCATTCAACATGCCTAAACCACATGACCAAATATTAATTGACTACTCATGGTATGCTTTTGTTTTCTAATGAGAATGAAATAAGAAAACTTCTATGACATCTTACTCTTGCTCAACAACTATATCTGCAAAAAGTTCCGAAGGATTCAGCATCTGAGGAAAATAAAAAATATATACGTATCATAGGTTAGCGAAGCAGCAATTTTTGTAACCCAAGAGGGCTTGTTTGGCAGAACTTTCAGAATTGAAGCATATGTAGATTGATATGAATATGGGAGAATGTTCACCTGTAAATATGGTTGTGGGATCGCTGGCTCCCAAATAGCAAAACCACCACTTTGAGGACTCTAAACAAAGAGAATGGAAAAGAATAATGGTTAGACATTTTACCTTGCAAATATATGTAGATCTATCCATCTTCAATGTCAATTATAACGGATATACAGTATGATTTATGTACTTGTAAGTAGAGAAGAATGTTCACGGCTTCATGCAATCGCTTGACATCAATTTTTTCTCCAGCAATTTCTGGTGGCATTTGTGAAAGTAATAATAGACACTGCAGAAAGAAAAAGGGTATTTCGTTACGATAACTAATTACCAAATTCTAGTAATTTTCGTTGTATAATTATACCAAAATAGAGCTACATTACCTTCATTGCCTCCCCTGTGCAGTCTGAGACAACCCAACCCTGATCTTGATCGGAGAAAGTCCATCCTCCTTTAGAAATGTGACGATACATACTTTTGAAATCCCCAGCTGGATCTTCTTTCATCTTCAAATCATGATACAATACTAGTAAGCGAAAATGAAACTTTCTGTAGATACTAATTCCTATGAATGGGAAAATACCTGTGATTCTTTGATGTAAAAGTGTGCTTTTTTAAGAGTGTCTCCATATTCATCAACAAGATTACTGGCAAGAATTGCTTGAGTAGCAAGGGTACTGTCCCATATCTGACTGCCAAAAGTCTACAGATTTTAATTAACAAGTTAGTAAATTTTCTTGTTCAGGTCCAGCCAAAGTTATGAAGATGGTTCGACAAGTTGAAAAAACAGTCTCATCGAGTGAAGAACAGAGTATAGTTGCTGTTGGGATTTGACAAAGACAAGGTAAGACTCTAGACCCGTGACAAAATGCAATCTCATACTAACCTGCATTTTCATTCCATCTTCTGCTAACCACAAAAAATCAGGAACTCTGGCAAGATGATATTTAAATTCATCACAATTTGGGTCATGTGCATACCATGCCATCATTTGTAAACACTGCACAAACAAAAATAAAAAAATTATAATTGAAAAAGAGATTAGATTCATTCAGTACTTAATCCATAAACCTGCATTGCATTTTGTCTATGTTACTCACCTTCTCTATACATCCTATAGTGATGTATCGACTCCCCTCAGCTGCATAACGCATATACTTGATTGCTTTTCCTAGAGCTCTTTCTCTAATCTTGGAGAAGGGCCATTTCTTTATAATCGGCTCGGTGAAGTAATGCAGAGTATTCCAAGTCAGATCTTGTATGAAGGTATGAGGGTAATAGAGATCCTCCTGCATTGAGCGTATACATATGTAATACATATATGAATGGCTTCTTAGAGGAAATGAAAATGTTTTTCAATACCAAAAAAATAAGTCCAAAAAGAAAATGAATAAACATTTATGAGTAAGTTTTTTCCTTGAATGTATACAAAAACTAAATTAGGTTAATTAAAATTTACCTTGCAACAGTTATGGCGTGTTTTGTTCCAGTCTATTTGATCATATGGATGGGAGTAAAGTTCGTGTCTCAATGATTTGACAAGATCGGTGATCGGTCCCACATATTTTCTCCCGTATAAATACGACATTGGCATGTAAGTGGTGCGACAATAACACCACATTTTTGCTGCAATGGATGATGATGAGTAGATTTAGACGAAAACCTCATTAATCCAACTTCAAAACTTAAAAATGATATAGAAATATAGCAAAATAAGGAAGAACATGTTGGAAATTTTGCAATAAGTTTTAACAATGTGTACAAACCTGGACAGACATTGGATAAATGGCAACAAAAGTAGTATTGACAAAGACATTATTGTTGGATATTTTACTATTACTAGTCTAACATTTATATTGTTGGAAATGTGAACATTGTTAGCAAACTTAGCATCATGGTACATGGATTGAAATATGTTGTATTATTGACTTAAAAGTTAAAACTGTCAAATTCATGCATAGTCATCAAGGCCTCACTATTTGTGTCTTGAGTAGGCCAGGCTGATAGGGCTTAGTGTCTTATTAAAAAGCCCGTCTTTTGTTTATGTTGATGAAAAACATGCATAATTTTATTTATTATTGTTATTTATTTATGTTTTATTTTTTATTTTTTTTAAATCTCCAAGTTTCAAGAGAGAAATCTTTTATGTTTATCAATGGTTGGATCTAAATATGACTTTTACTATATCACAACCCACCCCACCACATGGTATGATATTGTTCACTTTGGGTCTGACGCTTTGGGCCTGAGCCCGCACGATTTTGCTCTTGGGCTTCACCCCAAAAGGTCTCATACCAATTGGAGATGACACACTTACATATAAGCACTTCACTTTTCCCTCTCCCAGACGATGTGAGACTTGTGCACCCGTAACTCGCCAGTGTGGTAGCCTGATAGTGTCTCTCGCACCCGCCCACAGGGTCATCACAATTCATCCTCCTTGGAGGCCCGATGTCCCCGTCGGCACACTTCCGGCTGGGTCAGGCTCTGATACCATTTGTAACGACCCACTCCACCACATGGTATGATATTGTCCGCTTTGGGCCTGAGCCCATACGGTTTTGCTTTTGGGCTTCACCCCAAAAGGCTTCATACCAATTGGAGATGACACACTTACATATAAGCGTTTCACCTTTCCCTCTCCCAGGTGATGTGGGACTTGTGCACCCGTAACTTGTCAGTGTGGTAGCCTGACAATGTCTCTCGCATTCGTCCACGGCACACCCTCCCACAGGGTCATCACATGCTACTTTATTGATTGAATAAATAATTTATACTACGGGTTTAGATAAATAAAATAAAAAACACAAAACATTCATGCAAGAAGCTAATCCGAAATTTGTCAATACCAGGATGAAAAGGCAAAATTGATGGGCAAAGCCAGAATTCTGGGGGCACTGGATTGCAGCCTGACCATTCATACACGCCAAGCACCTATACAAAACGAGATTTCATGCATTATGAGGAAGTCAGCTAGAGAGTTTGCAAGTAATTTCATGGACAATAACATTTTACATTAAATCTTAACAATTTAATTTGCGTAAAAGCTCTGTTTGGCTGCAGGCAAGATAGAGGAAAGGAAAATATAGTTTGGAGTCCTGCAACTACTGTTACTTCTGCCCACTTTTTCTTGAAAACCAAACAGAATCCATCTGAAAATGTTCTTAGACTCTATATGCAATGAATTATAATTAATCCATCTCTACTTGAAGTACTTTTCTTATTTGAATGTGTTAGTTTTACCGAAAGATAGAGTTTTCCCCAATTGGGTATCTCAGTAACACCACCATGATCAAGAATCCATTTCTGGCCTCTTGCAACAGCTCTATTTTCTCCGTCATCAGGTCCTTCTCCTAGTAAACGCAATGCAACATAGCTAAGTGTGGAGCCAAACATGGTGCTGTGGCCCTCGATATAGAATCCCCATCCGCCATCATCGTTCTACGAAAACCCATAAACTCCATTAGTTTATATAATGGATGAACATGCATTTCTAATGTATATAATTAATGGAATTTGAATTAGTACTTGGTGATTGTAAATGTAGCGAATCAGCTCCTTCTTGTGTTCCACTGTTAGGACAGTATTCATTGTTCCACTTATATATAGGATAATGATCTGCAGAGTGTAACATTTTTAATAAGTTAGCCCAAAATATAGCTTATTAACAATTTGACAGCTTTGTTGGTTACTGCGAAAACAGAGGAAAATGTGATAAACTTAGCCGGCATGCTTAGCATTATTCTTTTTTGTTTCAGGATTACTTAAAGATCAACACTTACCAAGGGGGGAGCAAAAAAAATTGGGCCTGCATTTTCAGCTGGCCAGTGCCCATCACTTGCTTGGATTGCACGATTTAATCGAACAGCTTTCCTCAATGCAGTTGTCACAGCTTCATAGGTTATTTCTTCATTTTCTCCAATTCTCACAGGCGGTATGCTTAGATCAATTCCATTTTCCCTCTTAAGCTGTGATTGAAGATCATAAAAATTAAAAAAATAAAATAAAAATTCTGGTTAGTCAGAACTTCATCTTGACTTTTCTAGTACTTGACTTAATTAGTACCAAACTAACATATTTGATGCTATCAGCCAAAATTATCATGGTATGGTAGTAACACAATTTTGGAAGGTGAACAATCTATGTTACGTGTGATGGACGTACTATAACATATTCTAATAAAATTAGTATGGTACTAGTTGTGGAGGTTTGCATAGGAAGGTTTGTGTTTACCTGCATTCGCATTAGAACATCACCACAGGGTTTAGCTCGGGATCGGTTTATCCGGTTTCTCCGGTAGTCATCTCGAGCTTTCTCAACTTGTGCTCTCTCCTCCGGTGTCCCGGCTTCAGGGTCGAACTCCCAAATTTGTCTACCGACGAAATTGTTAGTGCTATATAACCATGGTCCATGCCCTTCAGCAACCTTGAGCTTCCACATACTCTTGATTTTAGCTTAGCAACTCAAATTATCTGTGCTAGGTATCAGCAGTTACAAAAATAAATTAAATTAGATGTCAGCTATATATAATATTGTCAATTGGTCAAAATAAATGTTGTTGGTAAACTATTTAATTTGTTGTTCAGTTTCAGTTCTATTAGAAGTAGATTATTGCCTTGCAGGCTCATTTTATTCTTTGTATCAAATTAAACCATGTTTTTAAAAAAAAAAAATCAGAAATGTGTAAATATAACACATATCTCGACTTTAGCATTAAATAATATATTTATTATATATATTATAACTTTCTGTGTTCTTTTACTGGAATTTTTTGGTCTTCTCTTATTTGTTATGTGCTTCTGTTCTAGTAATTAAACCATGATATCTATATATATTATAACTTTGTGTTCTTTTACTGGAATTTTTTTGGTCTTCTCTTATTTGTTATGTGCTTGTGTTCTAGTAATTAAACCATGATATTTATATATATAATAACTTTCTGTGTTCTTTAACTGGGCTTTTTTTGGTCTTATCTTATATGTTATGTGCTTTTGTTGTCCCCTCAAATCTGGTGTTCTTAATGCAAATGTTTAATTGTATTGGGAAATGGTTGAGATATGCTTTGTCTGGAGCATGCAATTTTAAACCAAATATCTAAATTAATTACCAAGTTTCAAGATTTACCTGACTCAGAAAGACTAATCAGCACTGTGTTTGGTCTTTGCTATAGGAGGGAAGTGAGCTTCAAAAGAATGTTGAAGAGCAAGTACTTCAAATTAATGTGTGTGAATGTAAGTACTTGAAAGAGAAACATATCATTATATATATATATATATTATTGGAATTTAAAATCGATATTTATACTTGTTATATGTAGTATATTAAATCTGAGATTTTTATCATATTACCTAGGCCAAAGCCCCTCTATCATATATATTGAACCGTGGACACAATGACCACGTGGATATATAATACTCCTTTTACGTGATGCATTTCACCACGCACAAATATGTGTATGATTGTCCTTAACAAAACATCCACCACGTAAAAATCGAAATTTTATAAAAGAGCAAAAGAGAGAGACCGGATTGAGAATTAGGGAAGGTGGTGGAATCCACGTGCATGGTGATTGTTCAAGGTTCCAATGAGGTAGGCCCCACTGTGCGTGGATCCCATGCATATTTCCAACCTTGGCAACATCACATGCTAGAAGTGTGACATTATGAACTTATTTCTAAAAATCATACTCCATAACAAAAAAATAATTAAAAAATCATACAATATGATGAGAGAGAGAGAGCGAGGGGGCGGGGGGTTTTGGTCAGGCGGGATCTTTGGAGCATTCCAAAGATCTTTCGGAGAATATATCGTTTTTCTTACACAATAGCATATATGTATTTAGTTGACGGTTCAGCTCACTCTCAACAAAACTGATACACACACTTGCATGTATGGACGTACAATATATGTAGAGAGAGATTAGAGAGAGAGAGAGGGCTACCTGATTCAGAGAGATGTAATAAAGCTAAGCACCAGCAGTGGTGTTGAGCGTTGGCTATAAGAGGGATTTGAGGGGAGCAGCATTTATATATACATAGGGTACTTGAGTTAGATGTAGGACCAAAATAGTTGGGAAATATAACGAGTCACAGTTTTTAAAATATCCAATTATTTGTGAAAAAAAAATACCCAACTATTTTAAAACGGAGAAAATATATGAGTCACAGTTTTCAAAATATTCAATTATTTTAAAACGGAGGAAATAATTAACAAAAACAAAAACAGAATCCAATCTCTAATATTATATACTCTAACAAACTAATATATTCGCACACCAACAAAATCAGAATCCAATCTCTAATATCATATACCCTGACAAACTAATATATGCACACACCTAATCTTCATAACCAAAGAAAGAAATTCTTGTAGCGTGACTACTCCATTTATCTTGAAAATTCTCACTTTCTATTATTAATAAAAATAAAAAGTCACAGTCAACCCAAGAGGATTTTATTGCCAAGAACACAAATTTTGTGTCTGGTCCCCTCTGACTCCTACCTAACATCACGACTAACATTTTAACCATGCCTACTGAAAGACGTCACTACCAGAACTACATTCTCCAACACATGACATTCTTCAATTTTACTATAAAATAGAAAAAAAAATGACCAACCTAACGAATCTAAACAAATATAACAATTATATACATAAAAAGTACAACATAAAATATATAAAAACAAAATAAAAATTAATACAAAAATAAATCATACAACTTTGTGGAGAACCGATTGTCTTCTTAATATTACTTGTTTGTTTTCTCCTTCCTTCGTTGCTTATAATTACCAGTATACCAAGTTACTAACTCCACCAATATAATAAGTTACTAACTCCATCATATAGCACTCAATATGACTTAATGGACACAATAACACATTCGTATATTACTTCACAAACTTAATTTCAAGTTCTACCGACAGTTTAAATCATGTACTTCACAAACTTAATTTCAACTTCTACCCACACAGTTTAAATCATGTACCTCCATTGAATTTTAGCATCAAATTTTTAATTTTTGTACCAGGCTACCGGCTTTTGTTAAAGTAGTCTTCTTTGCTTTTTGAAAAACTGTACATTAAAGACTTCTTACTTCAGGCTTTAAAGCTTTTTTTTTTTCTTTTTTGTCCTATGCATTAATTTTTTTTTTTTTGTCCTATGCTAAACTTTGTTACCGACACTTATTTTTTATTTTTATTTTTATTTTTTTCTCTGTTTCTATAAAGACTTTTTCAGCTCTATATAAAATAAGTTGCAATCATGCTCCAGACCCAGGTTCATGGGAAGAAGTCATTGGTTAAATAAAAGTTGCTATCATGCTTCAGAGTCTGAGCTTGTGGGCCAGTGGGTTAAATTCATGGCTTCTGACATTGGTAGGGCTTAGGTTGAGTCGTATTAGTTTCATTTTCCTTTTCATTAAATAAAACCTTAACACCTTAACGTTAACGTTAAACTGCTGTTTAACTCAAATTCGTTGCAAATCGGTTCGTTCGACAAATCATGCTATATACATATTTTTATAGTATAATTCGATAAGTTTTTAAAAATTTTATTAAATCTTTTAAGAATTAAATAAGGCAAATAATGATTCATTACTAATTTTTAAGTATACTAACTGAGTTCAGTTTTCGGCCATTTGATACTTAATTAAAACTCGAGTCAAACTCAAGCTCATGAAAGAATTTCTGTTCATTGAAGCATTCATTAATTACGGTTCTTTTATTATTGGTGACTTTAAGTATTAGTATTATTTTTAGTAATAATAGATCAATAATGTATTTTTTTTTTCCCGGTAAAAGACCAAAAATTTTATACCACTTATAAAGCACATGGTCAAGAAGAAGAAAAAAATGCACCACTAATCAAGTTTTTGAATTGTAGTGGTTAAAGAATACATGCCTTAAAAGTAAGATGTAACATGGGAACACACCAACCATGACTTTAACATGCGTCTATTTAGGGACGATAAAATATCCCGTCTTGTTTAGGTACTCGCCCCATTTCATTCTGTTTAAAACAATTGTGAAGGTAGTCGAATGGTTTTGGGACAAAAATGGGGGTTATGATTAAAACCCCGCATTTATAGTTATAAATTAAAATTTTATACTTATATTTTGTTTTATATCCAATAATATTGGATATATACTAAGCAAATCATAACTTATTGTATTTCAATCACTAAATATCTTTTGATATTATTCCTATTTAAGAAATTTTATATTGTTTTGATGTTCCTATAATAATATTAAGTCTAAAGTTTCAATTGAGAAGTTGAATCTTATATTTATGAAATTAAAAAAAAAATAATTATTATTATAGTTGAAAATTTATTTTATCTTTTATTTTCATTAAATTCGTAATACAATTACAAAAATAATTTACAAAGTCCGTCCAATCTCGCCTCACTCCACCCCTGTCCCGTCTTGTTTAATAAACAGTTTTGGAATGCGGGAATGGAGTAGCTATTATTGGAGACTATGCACAAATATTATAAGAGATTAAAAAGACAACATCAAACTTTATTTATCCACAACGATTCATTATAAGAATCAATGTGAATCAGTGACAAAGTAACCTCACACTTTCAATCAAGGAGCATTTGCTGCCAAAGCTATTTATTTCTTCTTTTTGCCATTTCAATTAGAAAAAACAGACATTTGGGCACATTTTTTATTTTTTTTTTGAAGTTTCTGTATTGTCATATATGTTTTGGCACTGGAATATTAGTTGACCATTTCACTTTTAAATGCAAAACAATACATTTTTTAACATTAAAATTGTGTACTTCTTGAATGGTTACCTTAATCTCATCCCAAGCTGAGTAGATGTTACTTTTAAAATTATAAGCAATAACATTTATGTTATACTTTACTGCGTCGAATCGGCGTCATCAATTTGAAATTGAAGTAAATTTAACACAAAATTTAAATTAAATTTACTCCAATCTCAAATTCAAGACACCGATTTAGTGTTCCCAAATATAACATCATATCTGTTAAAAAGTGTTTAGAATTTAATTATAACAAAAAAGAATGAAATTTGATGAGAAATCACATTTCTCTCGTAACACTCGCAAAATATCGAATGTGATCTACTAAGTTAACATACCATTCCCATTTGCATTAATATTGTTGGGATACTTATTTTAAGTATTGTCTTTACTTAATTCTCCTAAAGCTAAAAATTTCTTTCAAATGTTTCACAAATTTTCAAACTTCTTTTTTGGTACAGAATTGTAGAGTGAGCCAAAAATAATTTACAGAATTGATAAATTAAAATTTTAGGAATAACAAGCATCCAGACATGTTTTAAATAAATATAAAATAAAATAAAATAAAATAAAAATTACACCCCTTCTATAATTTTTTTATTTTGAAAATAAAAATTTTATTAGCAAGCTCGAGAATACAAAGACTCTAAATTATATTGTAACCAACATATGTTCTTTTTGGAGTATTCTGAAACACAATTCTAGAATTGTCGAACCAATAAAAATTGTACACAACTAGTTCCTATAAATATGAGGAAGCGGAACAGTAAATCTATCCATTTAGAAATACAATTTTACAAATTAGAAATAATTTCCTATATAATTATTTTTAAGTAGGATACACAAACCATAATATGTATCGTCCAAAATTCTTTACACAATTTTATATACTTGTGCACAAAAAACTGATTAATACGAGGGGCAAAATAAATCTCTATTTTGTCCCAACCTCCTTTTGTTGTGTCTTTAAATCCTAGAATTCCAAACTCCAAGAGTTCCTTTTGTTGTGTCTTTTAAATCCTAGAATTCCAAAGTCCATTGAAGTATTTCTGTTCGAAAATATGTGTTTGGTAAATTTCCAGATTTTTTTGATTTTTTCTTTTTCTTTTGAATGGAATATGAATGAAAAACTATCTATTAATCCATATATATATATGTAAAAGTTTTTCAAATAATTTTTAGGAAGTTTTTTTTTATTAAGAGTTGATATATATCTGCACTCTACTTTTCAACATTTGCACTATAATTTTAAATGAAATGACAATTCTAACATTATCTTTACAAGTAAATAATTATTACTTTTTAAAATGACACAACTGTCCTTTCATATATTCTCTCCTTATCTTTAATCTTTAATATTTTAAGTATCTTTTGACAACACAAATAAAATAAAATACAAGTTAAATAAATTTTTTTTAAGGGACCAAAAAAAAAATTTCTATTATGTTGAATAAATTGCCTCTTTTGGCCAGATAAAAAAAATAAAAGTAACCATTTAAAAAATTATCTCTTTTTACATGGAAAAAAAAAACCAAAAAAATATATTTATTGAATAAATTATTTCTGTTGTCAAGATTCCAAAAAATAATAATAATAATAAAAAGTACAAAAGGAAGATGATTAAAAAAAAAAATTATCTCTATTGATTAAATTATCTCTTTTGATAAGAGTTTAAGACCCCCCCTCCCTCCCAAAAAAAAGTTGTTTTTATTGAATAAATTATTTCTTTGAACATGACCCATAAAAAATTATGAAGTTATCTCTTTTGACAAAATTTTAAAAAAAGTCAATTTTGTTGAATAAATATCTCTTTGGATTGTACAAAAAAAAATTAAAAATAAAAAAAATAAAAAAATAGAAAATAAGTCACTATGGAATAAATTATCCCTTTTTACTATAAAAAAAAAAATTATTATTATTATTAGCATAGAATAAATTATTTTCTTTGAGAGAACCTCCAGAAAAAACAAAAAGAAAGGAAAAAAAAATAGTAAAGAAAATATGATATTATAAATTAAGGAAATATGATTTAAGTGTATTTTTGCAAATATTATATTTTAATTCTCTTTTTTTTTTTTTTTTTTTTTTGTGGTGTTTTTAAAAATGTTCTCCAAATTGTACCTTGAGATCCCACAGTCCCTCTATCACTTGTTAGACTCTGCAAATGGTTTATCTTATTGAAGGGGCAGAAAGTGGACCGGGCCATATTTGGGTCGGTCCACTGAGCCCAGAACATTATTGGGCTGGTGAAGCACTTTTTTGAACAACCCACCAGGCCCAAAGATCGATTTAACCACATCTAGGCCCAATCTCTTCATCATTGCGGGACGGACTTCCATTCACTACGACTAAAAGATGAGGTCCACTGAATATTGGCCCAAGATTGAGAGTTTTGGGAGAGGAATTAGGGCCCCTGTACTCTTCTATAAATAGAGTGAGAGTGATCGAAAGAGGGAGATTGTGTGACGTGTATCAGATTATTTTTCTAAATGCAAAGAGCAATTTCTTACACCTTCACTTACGAATTCCATTCCACACGAGTTTTATATGAATCATAAAAGACCAATATACAACAACGGTGTTGACGAAAAATTACTATCAAACAAACTCGGGTTCTATAAATGCTTAAGTCAAATAATTGCGTGTTTAATCCAAATATATATATAATCACTAATTAGTACGTTATAGTCAAACTCGTCTTCAAGAAATGTTTATATTTTCTCCTACCAAAAAACATATATTATAATCTAATCAGAACATTTTAATTGGTTTTCACATTTTATCACCAATTAGTGTTACCTTAATTAATTATCTGATGAAAGTGTAAATTTAACCTGTACTACGTAAATTTTATGAAAAATACTTATTTCTTAAAAATGTATTATACATTATGAACAATACTTGATTTATATAGTTTTTATTTTATAAAAAATTATATTTTCTTTAGTCGGTCATTTAATTGAAATAATAATGCTATTTCTCTGAACTTGGAACAAAAGTTCTTAATCTGTATTATCATATCTCAATTTTGAATTAATTCGATAGTCTTTATTTTAAATACCTCCGCATTAAAATAATTTAAACTATTCTTCTAATTTGAATTTGAAGATGCGGATTCAATATTTTCAAACATAATTTAAAAGTATTTACAAGAAAGTGGATTTCAGAAAATGATGCAATAAAAAAGTATACACATATAAATAGATTTATATATTAATTGTATTGACTTAGATCTGTTTGGATGAAATGATTTGAAAGAATTTGGAAAGAAAATAAAAGAAATGATAAAGAAGTAAATTTGGATGGCTTTTTAGCGTAGAGAAAAAAAACATAGGGAGGGATTAGGAATACCTTCAGATCCCTCAAATGTATACTCTAATGATCAGTTTGGTAAAATAGAAATGCAAGTAAAAGAAAAGAATGATAATAGAAGGAGATAATATAATGTGTCTGGTAAGAAACGTTGGATGGAAATACAAGGAAAATGAAAGATTTAGAGTGATATGAGGCATGAATAGTAATTTTTGTCACCCTTCAAAAATTGAGAGGAAATGGAAGAAAAAACTAATATTTTTAATTAAAATTTATTAATACCAAATTTACTATTATTTTTATAAAAGAAAGACTCTACAAAAAAAAGGTATGGTTGTAATAATTATTATTATTATTATTTTTTTATTTTTGGGTAAAGTGCAATAAACCTGAACTTTACTCTCTCTTTCTAAAATCCCCCTTAACTTTTTATTTATTTCCAAACAAAAATTTATTCATAACATTTCCTGCATCTCCTTCAAAACGCCATTGTAGTCCTTCCCAATTAGAAACCCCTATTTTATGAAGCATACCATCAACTGAAGGCACAAGCGGAGGGAGAACTGTGGAACATCGAGATTTGCGGGTGAGGTAAGAATATATTCCATTCTCTCCTTGTTTTCAATTTGGTTTCCAACTGCTAAAATAATTAGATATTTGAAATTCTGATGATTCTTGATTGTTTTTTTACCCATCATGTCTATTCATATCTGTTCCACCTATAAAAGCTATGCATTTGGTACTGTTTGCGCCAAATTAAACACTTCTCCATACTATTTGTTCGATTCAATTGACTTGTCATTTTGATGCATAGAGTTTGTGATTCTGCATGTGTTTGTGTCTTAATTTGCATACATACTATTTTATATATGTGTGTGTGTGTGTAAATATATGTATATGTATCAGAATTAAACCACTTGATACCCCCTTGGCTCCTTTCACGGTAATATTACATAATTGTATGGGGGATAGACGGAGTTCAAAATGCATAACTAGGCCGATTAGTTCAACAAGTGCATTAAGTGCAAATTAAGCAAATGTCTCAAGAGTCTTGTGAGGCAATTTTACCTTCATTACAAAAATTAATAAGCATTGATCTTTACTATTGAGTTGATGATACAAAAGGAATTTAGAATAACAAAAATACACTGGAATTTCCACTCTTATAATACTGTTGGACTTTCTCATTGCGATACATTTTTAAAATGACTTTTGTAATTGATGCATACATTCACATTGTGTTGGACTATACATCTGTGGATATAATTTAGAGCTTTCGGGAAGGTAGCTGGACACGTTTCCGATATTCTCCAAGTGCCCACAGCGGAAAAATGTTTCTATATTGTGGATAATGCGGCATACAATTCTTCATGTAGACTCCCGTAATTTCCTGTGATGACAATATTAATGTTAAGAATAAAACTAAAAGAGAAAGCAACACCGGAAAATCATATTAGTACTGGAAAAGTGTCCATTGTCAACTCAAAATTACCTGTTGTGGAAAATCCCCATCATCTAACTGTGCGTTAATCAATAATTTTGCGGCTTTATGCAAAGGTGTTGGATCTCTGTGAGCCTAGTTAATAAGAGAAAAACCGAGTGAAAGAAAATTAATCATTTATTCTATGGAAGTGAAAAAAGTAATACTAATAATGTGAATTTAACACTTGAAAAAATTGAAACTAACCTGTCCACCATAGATAAGACCTAGCATACCCCATGCTGTTTGTACTAAGTTCGTCCTGTTTCCTTCCAAAGGCGTGTATTTCTGTTATATAGAAACATTAAAATTTGAATTAAATAAATTAGAAAGAGAGGATTAATTAGAAGTAGTTTAACCTCCTATATGGATTATGAATAGTACTGTGTGTGTGTGTAAATTCTGTTCTGTTTAGTAGCTTTATAGCTTCATGATCTTGCTATAAAGCCAACATTGTAGGTAGCCACTTACCATACTTGGGCATGACTCCAAATCCTCTCCCCAACCACCCTCTTCATTTTGTACCGAAAGCAAAAATTGAACAGCTTTGCGGACTGCTGGGCTGTTGTTATATGTCTTGCCAGCAGAAGCCAAACCTCCTAGCACGAAAAATGTGCCATAGACAAAGCAAATTCCCCAATAGCCATACCTGCCAATATCAAATATACATTAAATCAAATTGTCACAACCCTTCATATATTGTTCTTCTCCAATTATGCATTTCTAATTACCATACAACTTCAGAGGAAATGACCTCACCAAGAACCTTCTGGCCGTTGTCTCTCTTCAAGAAAACGTAATGCTTTCGCCACGGAAATCTCTATTTCTTTCTCCCTATGCCCCGGATGTAAACGTTTGAACAGTACCAGGGCTTGTACCATAGATGCAGTGCATTCAACATGCCTGAGCCATCAAATGACCAATGTTAATTAAATATTGAAAATTTTATTATTATTAATTTTTAAAATATTGAAATAACAAAGTTGTGCAGTATCTTACTCTTGCTCAACAACTATATCAGCAAAAAGTTCTGAAGGATTCAACACCTGAGGAAAAGGGAAAAGGATTTGTTATAGGTTGTTCAAGAAGCACTTCTTGTAACCCCGAAAAAGGACTTGTTTGGGAGAACTTTTCAAATGGAAACACATGTAGAATGATATAAATATGCAAAAAAATTACCTGCATGTATGGTTGTGGAATTGCTGGCTCCCAAATAGCGAAACCTCCACTTTCGGGAGACTGGATAGCAGAAAGAGAAAAATATAATTATAGTTAGTCATTTTTTCTTTACAATAATATGTCTATGTATTTATCTTTATTGACAATTATAAGGATATATAATGTGTATTATGTACTTGTAAGTAGAGAAGAACGTTCACGGCTTCATATGATCGCTGAACATCAGCTTTTTCTCCAGCAATTTCTGGTGGCATTTGTGAAAGTAATAATAGACACTGCAGAAAGAGAATCCTTTGGTCATGATCAAACTTAATTAGCTAATTCTAATAATTTTCATGCTTGGTAATATGAGAATAGAGTTAAATTACCTTTAGTGATTCGGCTGTGCAGTCTGAGACAACCCAACCTTGATCTTGATCAGAGAAAGTCCATGCTCCTTTAGTAAAGTGACGATACATACTTTTGAAATCTCCGGTTGGATTTTCTTTGATCTTCAAATTCAGTGACACAAATACCATTAAGCAAAATGGAATTATAGAATACAATTTCTGAGGAATACATGATTTCTGCGATTGGGAAAATACCTGTGATTCTTTTACATAAAAGTGTGCTTTTTTAAGAGAATCTCCATATTCATCAGCAAGATTGCTGGCAATAATAGCTTGTGTCGCAAGAGTACTGTCCCATATCTGACTACCAAAACTCTGCAAATTTAAGCAGCAAGTTAGCAGATTCTCACACCCCCATAAAAGTTCAGGCCACTCAACCTTCTCAAGTGGGCACAGATAAAGCCAGAAAATCATTCTAAACTACCGTAATAATCTTATCAAGATACATCTTATCAAAAGCACAAATCAGATTGTTGTTCAAGGCAAGAGAGAATCCAATAGATACAGTATTCCCTCCTCTTTGGTATAAAATGACAAGAATACAGGACGTTGGATCCGCAAATAAGTTTTATGAAGGGTCTCGATTGTAGGCTTTGTAGCATCCATGTTAAAGTTTGACTAGTTGATTTTATTATTCTTCCTTGCCTTTATTTTATAATTAATTAATTACTATTAATTCCTTTTTTTTATTAATAGTTAGCACTATTTTCTCTCTTTTTTTTTTTTTTTAATAAAATATACTAATTTCTCTTGAAATTTGGACAAATTATACACAAGTAGAGCGTTTGACATTTATTACTCTAACCTTCCCTGAGAGAGGAATGCTAAGGACAGTTGATCATCTCATTGGCTACTTTAAATTTCATTAATATTCTCAAGGAACGTGAAATATTTAACCTACTTTAAAACAAAAATTACCTTTAAAAGACAAAACTACCTTTTAAATCCTTTTTCATTACCTTTCTTGTATCTCTTCCCTCAATCCATATATATATATATATATATATATTTTACTGCCATTATTTCTTTTCTTTTTATTTCAATTGTTGCCACTAGTTATTTATTTATTTATTTTTTTTCTCTCTTTTTTTTTTTTTTTTTTTTTCTAATATATATATATATAAACCAGAACAAATAAGAACGGGGAAATGTTCACCAAATTTAGAAAAAAATTTATTAAACCAAATTGTTATTAAATTTTAACCCAAAACAAATAAGAACAGGGGAATGTTCACCAAATTTAGATAAAATTTTAAGAACAGGGAATGTCCACCAAATTTGTTATTAAACCGAAACAATTTAGAAAAAAATAAGAAAAAAAAAAATGAATTGAGTGTATACTAAAAAATATGATGGACTTATAAAAAAGAATATATTCGTTATAAAAAATTTATTTCAATTGTCGCCCTGTTCTTAAATTTTTTTCTAAATTTGGTGAACATTCCTCTGTTCTTATTTGTTCTGGTTTTAAAAATAAAAAATATAAAAATATAAAAATAAAAATAAAAATAAAAATAAAAATTGAAAGGAAGGACAGAAAAAAGGCTAATGGCAACAATTTTAATAAAAAAAAAAAATGGGAAATAAAGAAAAAAAGAAGGAAATAATTAACTAATGGCAACAATTGAAATAAAAAGAAAAGAAATAAAGGCAGTAAAAAATATATATACACCACGTATATGGATTGAGGGAGGAGATCGTACAAGAAAGGTAATGAAAAATGATTTAAAGTGTAGTTTTGTCTTTTAAAGGTGAGTTTTGTTTTAAGGTAGGTTAAATATTTCATGAGATGAGCGATTGTGAAAGGACAGTCGCTTCCTTAGCATTCCTCTCCCTGAGATTTGACGTGTGTGTTCAACATCACTTCTTACCGTTATAAAATTTCAATAAATGATTAAATTATCATTTCCTTGTGTTAAAAATCATCAATAATCTTATATTTTGACAAAAATACCATGAAATACAGTTTAAATATAAAGTATAAATATTTTACAGAAATGTAAGTATATATTTTTGTTAATGACATTTGATTGGGTTTCTTTTTATGTTTTGATTATGTTTATTATTATTATTATTATTTAAAAAAAGAGGTAGAGTAATATAGTGTTTATAAGAAGAGGAAAAAAAAAAAAAAAAAAAGAGGATAATACAGTCTTTTTGTTTAATATTTTTTATATTAAATTATTATTAAATAAATAAAGGTATGAAGGACATATCACACTTTTAATGAATGTTAAAATAATGAGGGTAAAATATTATACATCCTCCTTTTCAAATTAAATGTCGCTTTTAATATTTGTACCCGAATTAGATATCCCTTTTGGTATTTGAATAAATAACAAAGGTCACATCTAATTCGGAACAGGACTATCCAAGTGTAACTTGTCCAAACGGACCAAACCTCAGAAAAAAGGTGAGATTTACCCTTTATTTTTCAGTAACTCGTGTTATGGTTTCTTTTCTTTTCTTTTCCATTGTACCAATCATAACCTACAGACAATATCACAAAGGGTCAAGTGGGGGAGAACTTTGCCGTTGAATGCAAATGAAGGAACTGTGTAACATCGCTAGTGTGGTAAGAAGATATTCTCCTTCTCTCCTTGTTTTCAATTGCTAATATAATTAGGTATTCGGAACTCTTATGATTCTTGTTCAATTTTCGCACATCATGTCTTTCTAAGTTTATGTCCATGTCTATTGATATCTGTTCCACTTGAACAAACATAAAAGCTATGCCATTTGATACTAATTTCTCGAAATTAAACAAGGTTTCTAGGTCATCCTTTAAGAATTCTTAATAGAAATGCGCGCGAAGGAATTGCCTTCATTTAATGCTTCAAAATTAATAGATTGAGTTTGAAAAGTCCAACACAATGAAATCAGAATCGTCATCGATGAAATCAGTTTTGTTATTGCTTTTAGTCTATGCTTCTACCCATTTTTTTAGGGGTAATTAATGAAATTTAGTTATGATGATACTATCAAAAGAAGCACTTCTTCACTCCAGAATATTTCTGAGAACAGAAACACTAGGTCTACTATAAAGTTTTGGACCCCTGTTTCTGTTCAAACAGAGCAAATTATAGCAACTCATGCTTTCAACAATAGTATTTTTTATTTTATATATATATATATATATATATATATATATATATGTATGAATGTATATGTATGTATAACAATTGCACACTTGATACCCCCTTGGCTCCTTTCATGGTAATATTACATAATTGTATGGGGAGAGAAAATGCAGTAGTTGGGAGTGGCTTTTTAGAGTCCCATGGTTCTATAAGTGCATTAAGTGCAAATTAAGCAAATGTCTGAGAGTCTTGTGAGGTAATTTTACCTTCATTAGAAAAATAAATAACCATTAATCTTTACTATTGACTTGATAATACAAAAGGAATTTAGAATTACAAAAATACAGTGGAATTTCCACTCTTATAATAGTGTTGGACCTTCTCATTTCAATACATTTTTAAAATGACTTTTGTAATTGATGCATACATTCACATTGTGTTGGACTATACATCTGTGTTTTAGAGCTTTTGGGAAGGTAGCTGGACACGTTTGCGATATTCTCCAAGTGCCCACAGCGGAAAAATGTTTCTGTATTGTGGATAATGCAGCATACAATTCTTCATGTAGACTCCAGTAATTTCCTGCGATGACAAAATTACTGTTAAGAATAAAACTAAAAGAGAAAGCAACACCGGAAAATCATTTTAGTATGGGAAAAGTGTCTATTGTCAAACTCAAAATTACCTGTTGTGGAAAATCCCCATCATCTAACTGTGCATTAATCAATAATTTTGCTGCTTTATGCAAAGGTGTTGGATCTCTTTGAGCCTAGTCAGTAAGAGAAAAACCGAGTTAAAGAAAATAAATCATTTATTCAATGGACAAGAAAAATGTAATACTAGAAATGTGAATTGAACACTTGAAAAAGTTGAAACTAACCTGTCCACCATAGATAAGACCTAGCATACCCCATGCTGTTTGTACTAAGTTCGTCCTGTTTCCTTCCAAAGGCGTGTATTTCTGTTATATACAAACATTAAAATGTGAATTAAATAAATTATGTATTCTGTTCTGTTTAGTAGCTTTATTGCTTCATGATCTTGCTATAAAGCCAACATTGTAGGTAGCCACTTACCATACTTGGGCATGACTCCAAATCCTCTCCCCAACCACCCTCTTCATTTTGTACCGAAAGCAAAAATTGAACAGCTTTGCGGACTGCTGGGCTGTTGTTATATGTCTTGCCAGCAGAAGCCAACCCTCCTAGCACGAAAAATGTGCCATAGACGAAGCAAATTCCCCAATAGCCATACCTGCCAATATCATTATATACATTAAATCAAATTGTCACAACTCTTCATATATTGTTCTTCTCCAATTATCAGAGGAAATTAACTCACCAAGAACCTTCTGGCCGTTGTCTCTCTTCAAGAAAACGTAATGCTTTTGCCACGGAAATCTCTATTTCTTTCTCCCTATGCCCCGGATGTAAACGTTTGAACAGTACTAGGGCTTGTACTATAGATGCAGTGCATTCAACATGCCTGAGCCATCAAATGACCAAAAGTTAATTAACTATGCATAATTTTATTATTATTATTAGTTTTTAATATACTGAAATGATAAAGTTGTGTAGTATCTTACTCTTGCTCAACAACTATATCGGCAAAAAGTTCTGAAGGATTCAACACCTGAGGAAAAGGGAAAAGGATTTGTTATAGGTTGTTCAAGAAGCACTTCTTGTAACCCCGAAAAAGGACTCGTTTGGGAGAACTTTTCAAATGGAAACACATGTAGAATGATACAAATATGCAAAAAAATTACCTGCATGTATGGTTGTGGAATTGCTGGCTCCCAAATAGCGAAACCTCCACTTTCGGGAGACTGGATAGAAGAAAGAGAAAAATATAATTATAGTTAGTCATTTTTCTTTACAATAATATGTCTATGTATTTATCTTTATTGACAATTATAAGGATATATAATGTGTATTATGTACTTGTAAGTAGAGAAGAACGTTCACAGCTTCATATAATCGCTGAACATCAGCTTTTTCTCCAGCAATTTCTGGTGGCATTTGTGAAAGTAATAGTAGACACTGCAGAAAGAGAATCATTTGGTCATGATCAAACCTAATTAGCTAATTCTAGTAATTTTCATGCTTAGTAATACAAGAATAGAGTTAAATTACCTTCAGTGATTCGGCTGTGCAGTCTGAGACAACCCAACCTTGATCTTGATCAGAGAAAGTCCATGCTCCTTTAGTAAAGTGACGATACATACTTTTGAAATCTCCGGTTGGATTTTCTTTGATCTTCAAATTCAGTGACACAAATACCATTAAGCAAAATGGAATTATAGAATACAATTTCTGACGAATACATAAGTTCTGTGATTGGGAAAATACCTGTGATTCTTTTACATAAAAGTGTGCTTTTTTAAGAGAATCTCCATATTCATCAGCAAGATTGCTGGCAATAATAGCTTGTGTCGCAAGAGTACTGTCCCATATCTGACTACCAAAACTCTGCAAATTTAAGCAGCAAGTTAGCATATTCTCACACCCCCATAAAAGTCTAGGCCACACCACCTTGTCAAGTGGGTAACAATATTTAGGTGCTGCACAGATTTGACCAGAGCAAAAGCGTGAAACTCTTGGCTCGTAAAAATGCAGTATCTATCAAGCTTTGAGCTTGATAGATAAAGCTTGATAGATATACTTGATTGTAAATCTATACATGACTTGTGATGCAACCAACACTATAACTTGTCGTAACGCAAACCTGCATTTTCATTCCATCTTCTGCTAGCCATAGGTAATCAGGAACTCTGGCTAGGTGATACTTGAACTCGTCACAATTGGGGTCATGTGCATACCATGCCATCATTTGTAAACTCTGCATATAAAAAAGAACTAAACTTAGATTCATTCTACAATTAGTAGTACCTAATCCATATTCTTCCATTTCATTTTGTTCATTTTACTCACCTTCTCAACACATCCTATTGTGATGTATCTACTCTCCTCAGCTCCATAACGCATGTACTTGATTGCTTTGTCAAGTGCTCTCTCTCTTATCTTGTTGAAGGGCCAGTGCTTTATAACCGGCTCACTGACGTAATGTAGAGTATCCCAAAGCAAATCTTGTACAAAGGTATGAGGGTAGTAGACATCCTCCTGCATTCCGTATATATAAAACGTGTCATTAAACTTGTGCAAAAGCTACATTAGGTTAATATAACCAGAAGACTTGTAAAGCTAAACATTTTGATGGCCATTACTACTCTTCTTCATTGAATATCTGCGAAAGCTACATTAGGTTAATATAACCAACCTCGCAACATTCGTGGCGTGCTTTATTCCAATCTATCTCATCATATGGCTTGGGGTGAAGTTCTTGTCTCAACGATTTTACAAGATCGGTGATTGGTCCGACAAATTTTCTCCCATATAAGTATGACATGGGCATGTAAGTGGTCCGACAGTAACACCACATTTTTGCTGCAATGCACAAAAATAGGTAGAGTGAGACCAAATCCATATTAATCCATACTAGTATAGAAATGAAGGAAATATAAGAACATAAAAAGATGAACGATAATTTCTATCTTTACCTGGATGATAAGGCAAAACTGAAGGGAAAAGCCAAAATTCTGGCGGTAATGGGTTGCAGCCTGCCCACTCATACACACCAAGAACCTGCGCAAAATACATTCTTTGCATTCAACATTTTTGTAAATCATAAATTGCCTCTGTTTGTTTGTTTGTTTTTTTTTTTTTTTCTTTTTCATCCTTTGAATTCATTGTTTGAGTTTGTTGATTTTACCGAAAGATATGTCTTTCCCCAAGAGGGTATCCCTGTTGCACCGCCATGATCAAGAATCCACTTCTGGGCTTTTGAAACTGCCCCGTTTTCTCCATCATCAGGCCCTTCACCTAGCAAACGCAATGCAATATAGCTAAGTGCCGAGCCAATCATGGTGCTGTGGCCCTCTATGTAGAATCCCCATCCGCCATCATCGTTCTAGATAACACATCAATTCAACTAGTTTAGAATTTTGATAATGAACAAACATTTCTAATGTAGAACATTAAATGGATTTCGATTAGTACTTGATGGTTGTAAATGTAACGAATCATCTCCTTCTTGTGCTCTGCTGTTAAGACACGGTTTATTGCTCCACTGATGTATAGGATAATGATCTGCAGATTAAAATATCCAATAAGACTTTTGCTTGGTTGCTTGGAAAACATGGGAAAATTGTGTTATTCTTTTCTTTCAGGAGTATTTAATATCCAGACTTACCAGAGGAGGAGTGAAAAACATTGGGCCTGCATTTTCAGCTGCCCAGTGCCCATCACTTGCTTGGATTGCACGATTCAATCGAACTGCTTTCCTCAAAGCAGTTGTGGCAGCTTCATAGGTTATTTCTTCATCGTCTCCTATTCTCACTGGTGGTATGCTTAGATCAATTCCGCTTTCTTTCTTGAGCTGGTGATTGAAAATTATCAAAAACATGCCAATTAGTGATAACAAAGCTTTTTTTCTTATCCTTGAATTAGTACTGCTTAAATACATGTATATCTAGGTTTGCCAAAGTGTTATAGCATGGTAATAAAGTTATGGTAGTGTAGAGGCCTAGGATGTGGACTAACTTGAACATGACAGATTCTTATGAAGTGAGTATGCTACTAATATTCCAAATTTACATAAGAATATTTATGCTAACCTGCATTCGCATTATGACATCACCGCAGGGTTCAGCTCCAGATTGATTTCCCCGATTTTTTATGTAATCCTCTCGAGCTTTCTCAACTTCTGCTCGCTCCTCTGGAGTCCCGGCTTCAGGGTCGAACTCCCAAATTTGCCTACCGACAAAATTGTTGGTGCTATACAACCATGGTCCATGGCCTTCAGCAACCTTGAGCTTCCACATTGTGTAATTTAGCTAATTGAGAGGAAATTATCGGGTAGGTAGAGAGATGTAAATAAAGCTAAGCAACAGTGGTGATCAAGACTCGCTCTGAGCTAGGTACAGAAAAAATGTGAGGTTCAAAAAATGGAATGTCGAAGAGGCACTGCAATTTGTGAATGTGATGTTTGAGGAAGTAGAAGCAGTATATATATAGGCAAATGGTTGTGAATATCAGAGTCAAGTGTTACCAGTATTAATAAAGTAAGAACAAAAGTCCAATGACATAAAGTTGTAAACTTTTGTTGACCATGTGTCATAGCTCCATTTTGGAGGCTTTAATATATATATATATGTATATATAATGAACTATATATATATATATATATATACACATACAAACATGTTAAGTGTACATGAATGTGTTTACACCAAACTTTATGACCCGGTCACCCTTGCCAGCTTTAAATATTTCTCATAGGACACCCCACGCAGCTTCGCCAAGACAGTGACTTATTTATTTATTTTGTAACTAACTAATGATTAGAAATTTAGAAACATTCTATTACAATATAATATAGTATTGAAAAATTATATTTATGTCTCATAAACTTGAGGGTTGGTTGTCCTCAACCTCCTCTAGTTGCCCTTTTAGGGTTTGTCTAAATCTCGCATTACTTGTATTTTTTTTTTTTTCCTTCTTTTTCCTTTTTTGTAATTTACTAAGAGCACATTTAAGCTCCCTACTCCGTAAAAAAACAAAAGCCAAGAGGCTAAGTTCGGCTGCATAAAATTGGAATCGGTGAAATCGGAGAAAAGTAATTCACAAACTTAAATTATTTTTATTATTTTTTTAATGTTACCAATATTAATTTCAAGACTCCAAATTTAAGTAGTTGAGCGTCTGAACGCAGTTATAAAATAAAATAAAATAAATAAAAAATAATCAAGTTTATATAATTTTATTTTTCTTTTTTTCAGTATTTGCAAATAAACAATTGATCATGGAACACTTGGCTCAAAGGCACTGTGAAGATGCTCTTGCACGTTGATGCGTCGTAAGCATCTTAAACGTTGGAATTGGGCTCTTATATTACTAATTAAAGTAAACATAAAGACTATTAAAAAATAAAATATTCAGCGAGTCAGTCGCTTTTGACCCGTTTCTTTTAGTAAGTCCAGTGTGAGGTCGCTGGTCGCATATGTATTTAATATATCTATATATGTATACTATATAGTACTGCTATATATCATGTGTAAAATGAAGCCGTATTTGACCGCATGATCCGTCCGTGTAGTTAGAGATAGAGAGAGGGAGGGATGGAGGGAGGAGGTTGTGCTACCATACCGACCTGGAAAAAGAGAATGGTGTGTATTCCATTACAAATATGGATATTTTTTGTAAGAGTAAATAGTGAAAAACAACAGTAAAGCGAAACTAATAATAATTGTTTTTAATTCATTTGATTTGCATAAATTTTTATAAAAGAAATAATGAGAAAGTCTCATTTCATAGTTTGTTTGGATAGTCTGAAAGTTAATAGAAAATATTATGATTCATCTAATTATTTATATTTTTATTAAATATGACAATATGTCTAAATAAATTTATATTTACTTAAAAGAAATAATGGGAAAGTCTGATTTCAATTATTTTTTGATAAAAAAAAAAAAAAAGAAAAAAAAAAAACTTTTGAGTACTTTAATTCCACAGTTGGAAAAGAGAGATTTTTTTTTTTTTTTTTTTTTTTTCACTCTACCAATTTTCTTTATCAGCCCCGTTTGGCATACATTTTGTTTTTGTTTTTGGACTGCTACAGCGTCGATTTTAGTAACAAAAACATGTTTGGTGCGGCCTTGTTTTATTTTACATAGTGCTAAAACACTTCGTGAACAGTGGCCCAAAACTAAAAAGTTATTTTTTTTTTGTTTTGACAACTATTCATAACCTAAAACCAAAACAGTAGCACAATACGAACCAAAAACAAAACGCCTAAAACATCATTCCCAAACGTGCTTCCAATTTTTTTTCAAAACACTCATATAGCAAAAACATTGTTTCTATTTTAACTAAAAACAAAACGCCTAAAACAAAACAGGACATTCTTTATCTTTTTTTGTCATGCAACACTAAAATTTTTCCTCTACTACCAATTTGCTTCAATGGAGCACATTGGCATATATTTATAGATGTTTTTTTTCCTATTTTCCTGTAAAAAGCATCCAACAAAAACATTTGACAGGTAGTGGTGTGCACGTATCCAACATTTCATTCGCATTTACATACACCTGTAACATCTCATACCCGATTTCAAAATATAATCACTCTTTTCTGAAAATATTTCCCAGATTGCAAATTCTTAAAGGCCGAGAGACGATCGAAAGCCTCATGGTTTTAGAGCTTTTGGGAATGTAGCCGGACATGTTTCCTGATTTACTACGGCTAGCATACAATTCTTCATGTACACTCCAGTAATTTCCTGTGCTGATAAATTATTTTGGGTAAATTTCAAAGCTTTGATTGAAAATGAGGTTAAACAACAATGAGACAAAGGCAGACTAGTTGAACCATTCACCTGTGAGTAGGCCAATATTACCCTTTAATAAACCTGTAAAATACATGAACTAAGCTATACTACCATTAGTACACTGGACTTCTTTTTTATTTTATTTCATTTTGTTATTTGAAAATTCAAGCAAACACACTCGATACATATTTTGGCCCCACTGGAACTAGAACACTCAACCAGACCATTTTGAAATTTCTCTGTGACAAATAATTTATGAGAGATGTACAAGTGAATAATATAGTCCATTTAAAAGTTGGATATTGCTAGAGGTTTTAGGGTGACAAGAACACATGCTTGCGATATTCCGCAAGCGCCCAGAGAGGAAAGACGCTCCTATGCGTGGCGTAATGTAGAATACAATTTTTCATGGAGGCCCCAGTGATGTCCTGTGAGTGATCAAACATTTCAGGAATTAGAGGGCTTTTCTTGTATTATATTCACAAAATAAGAAAGAACACGGAACTTATATACAGGTTGCCCCCGCAATGACGGGAGCCTCCTGGGCTAGCCTTATATATATGTGTGTGTATACAAGTGATCCAGCAGAGAGCTAGATTTCAAATGTGACCTCCTGTATTACTTTGGAGATTGTTAAACACAGGGTGGGGATGTGTGCGCGCGCGCGCGCGAAGCTCTAACACGAAGCAGCATACCTGTTGAGGAAAATCACCACTTTCCATTTGCGAGTTTATTAATAGCTTTGCTGCTTTATGTAAAGGTGTTGGATCTCTCTCAGCCTAGAAAACATGAAAAAAAGATTTGAGAATTAGCCCACTTGACTTATTTCATTGAAGGTGTTGGGAGGGACGGACTAACAGCCTTTAACCTTTTATCTGATCATCGTACAATAATTTTGTGTATCATGGTTTTAATTGCTTATGCATCTCTGGGCAACAAAATTGACTATAAAATTAATCTTTGATCAAAGTTAAGAATTGAATCCTAAATGCCTACTCGAATTGAATCCTAAATGCCTACTCAAAACATATTTCTCATGGTTTTTCTTCGACACTGCAGTGACACTGAAACCAGAACAAACCTGTCCAGCATGAGTAAGAGCCATCATAGCCCATGATGTTTGTACTAAATTGGAACGGTTTCCTTCCAATGGCGTATATTCCTGTTTCACCAAATACAATAAAAAATAAGTAACCAAACCATATATGTATAAAAATCAATGTCACACACACACACACATATATATAGCAGATGAGCCTACAATTTTCTGTGTTTGTATTCTTTATAATAAGAATATATATGGACATTAACAAGCCCTTAGAATGATGAAATAGAAAATTAAGGTATGCCGAGTTACCATATTTGGGCATGAAAGATAACTCTCTCCCCAACCACCTGTGTCCTGTTGTGTTGAAAGCAAAAACTGACAGGCTTTTCGGACTGTTTGGCTATTGGAATATGTCTTCCCACCAGCAACTAGTCCTCGTAATGCATACCATGTCCCATAGGTGAAACAAATTGCCCAATTCCCATACCTATCAATGAATATATATTTTATTTTGTCAAATAACCATTAAATAAAATGATGTTGTTTATTGTTCTTGTTCGGGTTCATGGCCACTTCTATATTCACAAAAAACAATTTCAAAAGTGTAAGGAATCACCAAGAACCATCTGGGTTTTGCATATCTCCAATAAAACGTACTGCTTTTGCAACAGAGATTTCTATTTCTTTGGCCCGGTGTGTTGGGTATAAATGTTTGAACAATACTAGAGCTTGGACTATAGATGCTGTGCATTCAACATGCCTAAACCACCAATTAGTCAATGTTAAAAGAGTATCCATACTATGAAATTCTTCAACAGGAAAAAATAAAAATGAAGCGATAATGAAATCTTACTCATGCTCAACGAAAGCATTTGCAAAAATATCTGAAGAATTTAACCACTGAGAAAAACAAAAATAAAAGAACATAAACACGTCAAATTGTTGCATTATTCAAACTATTGAAACCCAAGAAAGTTCATTACACTGGGTGAGACCATGTGTTATGTTTGGTACTGTTTATTGGATGTAAAGAATTTACCTCCCACCATGGTTTTGCTGTTGCCGGTTCCCAAAGTGCAAAACCTCCACTTTTGCCCTAGAAGAAGACGAAAAAAAAAAAAAAAGCAAGCAAAAACAATAACTAGAGAGTCGAATAGTTGCTAAAAAGGCCTTGTGGATCCCACTACTAATCTTTAATGTCAATCATGGAAAATATTTATTTGAACCTGTAGACGAAGAAGAAAATTCACAGCATCATATAATCGTTCAGGTTCAATTTTTTCTCCCACGATCTCTGGAGACATTTGTGAAAGTAGAAGAGCAGCCTGTAAAGGAAAATAAAAGATGTGACAACATACATAATTTCCTTTTTGTTGTTCTAATATTGCAAGCAAGAGTTTAATTACCTTTAATGCTTCGGCTGTACAATCTGAGACTTGCCAACCTTGATCTCTTTCAGAGAAAGTCCAAGCCCCTTTAGAAATGTGCCGATACATACTCCTAAAGTCACCAGATGGGTTTTCTTGAACCTTCAAATTTTGGTTTAACAATGAGCAGATAGTGTATATAATTATAAAGTAAATGTTATAGTTTATGGATACCAAGAAGAAGAAAACCTGTGATTGTTTAATGAAATTGTGAGCCTTTTTCAGGGTAGCTCCAAACTCATCAACAAGATCACTTGCAATAATTGCTTGAGTAGCAAAGGCAGAGTCCCATAACTGGCAGCCAAGACTCTGCATTAAAGCAAAGACTTGGCAGATAAAATGCAGTCGTAGCAAAGACATATCTAATGTGCCATTTTTCAGGATAATTGATTGATTAACAAACCTGCACTTTCATTCCATCTTCAGCAACCCACAAGTAATCGGGAACCCTAGCTAGGTGAAACTTGAATGTGTCAGAATTTGGCTCTTCTGCCCAACAAGCCATCACGTGGAAGAACTTTATACATGAAGTGGACATGAAAGAATTAATCATCATAAGCAAATGCAAACCAAATCAAACAATTTGGAGGAGACAAACTAGTGCCAACTGTCACTTAATTACTTGAAATCTTGTCTCTGATAAAATGGATTATCCCAGTTGACAATATACACATGATTAACTAGGCACTCTCTTTTATTTAAAAAATAAAAATAAAAAATTCTTTTAATTTCATAAATGAATCATGTAATTTAATTAAAGCATGACAACTAATGATTTATGATGATCCAATTTTACCTAAAATTACCCATTCAAACTATCATCTTCATTAATGAACATGCACAAGCATGGCTGTATTGTGGCCTCAACAACCCGGTTCCATATATTTTATTAACTAATATTCAATTATTTTTTTGCACACAACCTCAAGTCACTCTAGTTTTATGCTTATTTTCCTCATTTCTGGCTTTAGCTACTTTTGCAAACCATAGACTTTCAAACCTTTGTAATCCAAAAATTTTTAATTAGCTTATAAATTAATCAATCTTTAAGGTAGTGGACTTTACAAATTTCACGTTAAGATGTAATAAATGATAAAAGTAAAGTTTCCTAAACAAGATTCAATACAATAGAATTAGTACTCCAAAGTTAACTAGTAAATGCTGGATGTCATAAAATTGTTTTCACATAGATCATGAAAATATACAGTGGGTTCACTTAACTGTACACGACATGGATTTTTTAAAATGCCAAGTCAATTTAACCTTATCACACCACAAAAAAATTAATATCTTTAAATTTATAATTAAGGTTAAACTCCTTTAAAATTGTCTATATATCTTGAGTTTTTATATATTTTTTTTATCTACAATCTCAGCTTCGTAGCGAAGGTGCTTTATTGTTTTCTGTAGAGCTCTATCTCAGCTTGGAAAAAGGCCAATGTTGTTGTTGTTGGCAATTTACATAATTACCTTTGATATACATCCCAAATTGAGATATCTACTATTCTCAGCTTCGTAGCGAAGGTGCTTTATTGTTTTCTGTAGAGCTTTCTCTCTCAACTTAGAAAAAGGCCAATGTGTTAAAAGTGTCTCACCAATGTAATAAAGTCCATCCCAAAGCATATCCTGAATCAAGGGATGAGGGGTGTAGAGATCTTCCTGCATTGAATATAAAAAGAAAAAACTAATCACAATATGTAAACTTTTTAATCAGTTATATAGTTCATCAATACTACTTCAAATTTAAAACAAAAGCCTAAAACGCAGAATTAGATCAGTTAATTAACCAACCTTCAAGCACAAGTGGCATGCTCTTTTCCAATTTATCGTGTCATAAGGCTCATTATAAAGTTCTTTTCTCAATGATAGAATGAGATCGGTGATCGGTCCGACATATTTCTTGCCATATAAATAAGCTGTGGGCATGTATGCATCACGGCAATAGCACCACATTTTTGCTGCATCAATTGCATATTTTCAGTACGCTGAATATCATTGCTATACAAACTGGTCTTTCTAACTACATCTCTTATTATAATTGTGTCTATGTCTATAGATCACCAATGAAATGGAGTCAGTCCTCAAGCACCCGGGAACACCCAAAACTTTAGGCGATTGCATTAAGATTTAGAACACTTCACTTACAAGGTATATATGATGGCAAAAGCAATAATTCTGGTGGCACTGGGTTGCAACCTGACCATTCATACACTCCAAGCACCTATACAATAAGAGATATATGCTGAGAAATCCAGCAAAAGAGTGGTTGACAATTATTCAAAAAGGTTATACACAATACATTTATATGTGACAATTACCACATTATGCTCAAATCTTAATAACTTGATGTTCCAACAGGAAAGGAAATATAAATTAAGTGGTAAAATAAATTACATTGGTCTCATACTATCCAGTCTTGTAAGGAATGGCAACGGAGCGGGTTTAGGGCATGGTTCCTTCTCGATCTCCATCCCCATTTGACAGAGTGGCACCCTTTTCCGCTCAAAACCATTATAAAATAGAACCTCCATATCTCATCCCCACCCCAGTTTAAGTTCCCCCACCCTACCTCCACCCGCTCCACCTCGTTTAAATTGCCAAAATATTACCAAAACAGTAGGTTTATACAAAATTCAAATCTTAGTAATTTACACTTGATCAATCTATAACTGAACCAAATTTTACAATCAGAACAAAAATATTTGCATCAATGGCCCATTTTCTCAATATAATTCGTTATAAAAAATATTTGCATCACAATCAACTAATATCACAAACCAATGATGCAGTGAAAAGAGAGAGAGAGACAGGATGGCAGATGATATTCATTATCAAAAAAATATTAGACTTTTACCCTGTCAAGGACTTCTTGAAAATGGCCCCTACACCTACTAAAAAGAGAGAGCTCAGTGCACAAGATTTTGGGAAGATCGGATATATGCAGTCTCACTTTTACATGGGGAGATATTTTTTATATTTTGAAATTTTGACCTTTGTTCATAATAAAGCAACCTTACATTTGCGCTAAGGACTGCCCACTACACCTACTATATACTTAATGTATATTATATTTAATTTGTTTCTACCTAAACTTCAATTTCATTTTTCTCATGTTGCAACGAAAAAAGTTAATTTATTCAAGAATTTTCTCGGAAAGAATTTGAATATATTAATTTACCGAAAGACATATCTTTCCTGCAGTGGGTATCACTGTAAGGCCACCATGATCAAGTATCCATTTTCGGGCTTTTGCAACAGCACCATCTTCACAGCCTCTTGTTTCTTCTCCAAGTATACGCAATGCAATGTAGCTATATGCTGTGCTAGTCATCGTGCTATGACCCTCTATATGCAATCCCCATCCACCATCTTTGTTCTACACTACACATTTTCACTTGTTCAAATGCATAAAGATTAAGATTTTCAACATTCATAGAAGATACACATGTATAAAAAGAAATTTTATTCAGTAGTACTTGATGATTATAGATGTAGCGAAGAATTTCCTTTCTGTGTTCCAGTGATAGAGTAACATTGATTGTGCCGCTGAGATATAGAACCATGACCTGCATATTGTAATATATATATCAACCACTTCACATAGTACAAACAATAACTATTCTCAAAACCTTACCAAAACTAGTAAAATATAAAAATTTCTTATCCCGCGCCATGCAGTCAGGACATATCTCTGGGATTCAAATTTGTGTGGCAGAGACTTTTGGAGCTCACCTTCTTTTCACTGATATAGCTTCTTCATTTTTTTTTTTTTTTTTTTGCAATGAAGAATCAACTCACCTACTAACCACACATGATTTAAACTGCTTGTTTTTGCGCCTTGTGAAAATCAAACTTAGCATGTTCGAGAGGTTTCACCCCAAAAAATCCATTATCCACTAAATTAACCATGCGATTTAGCTTGAAAAATATACCCCTTCATCCCAAAATAATAAATATAATGCTTTCTTTTTTGGTATGTTGTGTCCACTTTCCTATGTTTCAAATTTTAACTCTTCAAATTGTCCTCTCATTTTGAAAACCTGAAATGATTTGCAGACCTTCACCGAATAGAAAAGGAACTGGCAGGCTCCATAGCACAATTCTGCATGGTCCAGTAGCCCCTCTCACCTTTTGTTTCGAGCATTCAGTTCGCTTATCAGTTATCTCTAGTCTTTAAAAAACTTTTTTTCAAATAAAAAGATACATAATTAATTTTTGTAATTTTTAAAGGCAACTGATATTCGCGCTCCACCAACATACACAAGCGCTTCACTCTCCTATTCTCTTGAAATAAATTTACAAAAAAGTCCCTATATCACACAATGTTAGATTGTTAAAATTTTCAATCCCATAATTGCCCTTTTTATTTACATAATCTCTCGCGCGTTCTCCTTCAACGACTAATACGAAGATATATATAGAACACAGAAAACGAAAGTGCGGAGATAATATAATCTCAAACAACACCTCTGAAGTCTGAACCAAACTCTAAACGAGCAAACAGACCCAAAACCAACTCCAAACAATCCCACTTCCAACAGAAGACCCAACAAAATTTTTGGAATCTAAGAGTGACAGAGAGATATGACGTTTGTGATCTGGGGAAGCTTGAAGTGGAAGAAAAACAGGGAATATTCAGAGAGAAGCTTTGAGGATGCAAGAATGTGATAGATCGGGATCTAGGGACGTGGTGTTGTCCGGTAAAAATGGAGAGAGAGAGCGTGATGGAGAAGAGGAATCCTGGGCTAACAGAGAAGGGGAAATACGCATTAGAAATTACTTTGTGCGGTCTAGAGACATTTCTGTAATTTCATTTTAGGAGAATTGGAGGGTGAAGGGTTTGAGGATATTGGTCAAGCGAATATCACTGGCCTTGTTAAGAGACAAATGTTTCTTAAAAATTTGAAATCCCAAAATGGGACTTATTAAAAGGTGAAAGGAGAATGTATTTGACTTTTTGCCCTTTTTCGTTTAGTTAACTAAAATTAATTTCAAATTTCAAAAATCTCAAAGCAGTATTCAAAGAATTAAAAGGAGCAGTTTTTTATTCACAGGAAAAAGAAAACAAAGTTCTCTCAATACGTTGTTTTTTTTCAGTCCTATTTTTTCTACTGATAGTTCTAGAACACTACGAACTGAACGCTTGTCTCTTCTCTGAAAAATAATAGAATCTGTTACTAACCTCCAGTTCTCTAGTAAGTTACTAGAGAGCTGGAGGTTTATTTATTTATTTTCACATTTGAGCAAATACAAGATAGGAACAATTACCAAGTGAGGTGTATAAAATAGGGGGCCTGAATTTTCAGCAGGCCAGTGCCCATCATGTGCTTGAATGGCTGAAGTCGATCGAATAGATTTCCTCAAAGCGGTCGTAACTATTTCATTGGTTACTTCTCCAATGTCATTCAATCTCACTTGGGGTATCTTTAGATCAACTTTGTTTTCCCTCATAAGCTGTACATAAAAGAAAAAATACAATTAAAAAAAAAAAAAAACTGAAATCAATTTAGTTAACACTTCAGAGTGGCCTTTGCCATATATCACTCTTTGCAAGATTGCATAACATTAAGTTTGGTAATTGGAGAAACATTTTTCATTCTCAATTAATAAAGCTCCTAAAACTTAGTGTTGATTTCTGCAAGAGAGTGATACAAATACGGTAACTTTGAAGCCTGTAGAATTGACAACATTTTCCTTGAGGCTTTAATTATCTTGTAAAGAGTTCGTTATAATGAATTCTCACTTCAACAAAATCTTTGAAAGAGTGAAGAGTGTTCTTGAACAAAAAAAATTCAACCAAGATAGATTGAAAGTGAGATTAAAAGAAAGTATTAAATTTAGAGCAACTACTCCTATTTATAGAGTAAGAAGGAATTCAGCTTTAAACACAAAAACCATCATTTGACTAGATGTAACTATTAGTTAAAGTAATAGCTAATTCTAAGCATAAACTTATAAAGTAAGAGCAAGTACCACGAACAATTTTATTAGTAACAGTTAGTTTTGTAACATAAATTAAGGAAAAACTGCAAAAAGAACAAAATAAATAATAAATAAAAAAGGAGAAGCATCGAGTTGAGATCTTATGTTATAATAACCTTTTTTTTGTCATTCTAATTGGTACCTGTAATCGCATTAGAAGATCGCTGCTTGGTTTAACTCGGAATCGATTTTTCCGGTATTCCTCCCTAACTTTTTCAACTAGTTCTCGCTCTTCTAGCGTTCCCGCATCAGGTTCGAACTCCCATATCTGTCTCCCCACAAAATTGTTGGTGCTAGTTAGCCATGGCCCATTTCCTTCCGCTATCTTAAGCTTCCACATTTTCACCTTTGGCAAAATTAAATTCAAACTAATCACCTCAAACCCTGCACTTGAAATATAGTAAATAATATTACTGAATCTCCCAAATATATATATATAAATTTATATATATAGCCAATAATAAACAAAAAGACCACCATAACTGACCTCTCTTCTCTTCTCTTCTCTTCTCTCTCACATACACACATCCTCAGATCCAAGTCCAAACAATTTCTGCAAAGCACGAAGCTCTCAGTGGCCTCATACATACATATACACACACTTAATTTCCAAATTAGTGCCCTCGTATGCGTAGACCATCCAGCAAATAAATTAGTATAGTAGTAATACAAACAAATTAGTGGTCTCATGTGCGACTATCTAATCAATATTTATCATATAACCCCTAAACTATCAGAAACATCATTTTAGACCATTGTAGGAAACTGTCATTTACCATGTGATGTTGAGTGTTAATTTAAAATTGACCCTAACAACATGACCTGAGAGAATCCGGGCACAAGCAACTTTAGAGTGACTGTGTTGGCGGAGAGAGAGAGGGGTCGGTACGCAGAAGCAAGTAGAGTGCCTTTTTATGGGCCCTACAATTACTCTCTATTGAATTATTTGCAGATAGAGTGGGCTTTGGACAATCCGCTAAAAAAAAAAAAAAAATTTATTTGTATAATTGACTGTGTGGCTTCTGTCTTGTATCAATCAATTGATACAAAGTAAAACACAGACAAACGACTCTTGCAACAGTAATTTTAAATCGCTATATTATTTACACTATAAGTACTAAATTTCATCATCTTTAATAATTATCATCTTCAATAATTCTCTCTCAATATTTTTTTAAACATTCATCTCTATAGATCTTCAACCTCCATTCTATCGCCCCAATTTCAACCAATCTTATAATTCCGAATTATCACCGCAATCTAATTATAATTTGGATTCTTCAAAAAAAATTTCAATCCGAAAATCCATCTCAACCCCAGTACTCTTATTTCCCATTGCAACCTTCTCAATACCAACCCGTACCACATCCTCAATTCCAACCTCATTACCAATTACAACCATCTCAATACCAACCATTTCAATCCCAATTATCTCAGTTCCAACCATCTCAATCGCAACCTTCACAGTTCCAACCATCTCAATCCCAACCATCTGAAACCCAATGTAATTCTAGGCGTTCAAAAACAAATTGGTCCATTGAAGAAGATGAAGCATTATGCAAAACATGGGTTGACATTGGGGAAGATTCAATAACGAGTTCGGATCAGAAGCAAATCACGTATTGGGGACGAGTCCGTGAAAATTTTATTCGGCAACCAGGGGGAAAGACGTCCCGAAATGTACCAAGTTTACAAAATCATTTCTCACACATTAAAAATTTTATGGGAAAATTTTCTGGATATTACAAACAGATCCAATATCATACTCCTAGTGGCTTCAACGTTGAAGATCCAGTAAGTTTTTTACTTTGTAAATTTTTTAATTTAATTTATTTTATTTTAATTGGCAATCTAACTAATTTCATTTATTATTTTTTATTTTTTATAGCTCAATCAAGCAAGAAATTTATTTAGTAGGTCAGAAAATGAGCCATTTAAGTTGGATCACTGTTGGTGTATTTTAAAGAATTCGTCAAAATGGAATTCCAATTCCAACAGCAATGACAAAGGGAAAAACAAAAGAGCAGTGGAGATCGATATGAACGAGCCTGGGGATTGGCCAGAAACTGTTCAACGTACTTCGTCAACAGTCCAAACCAATCCATCTACTCCGTCAACACCTGGAGTATTAAACCTTGGCGACGACGATTCGCCTACAATTAGTGTTGAAAGTTTGCATGGCATTGTATGACCTCCTGGACGAAAAGTATCTAAGAAGGTTTGCAAAAAAAAGCAAAGAGGAGGTACAACATAACTTATTTTTAGAACAATTTAAAGATTTTACCCATCAAAGTGAGTTAATGAATGCCTTGGCAATCGAATCTCAAAAAATGAAATTGAAAGCTACATTCGATTTAGGCTTGGAACAAAAAGAATGGACATTGAGGCGCAAAAAGAATTGAAAAGGTTGGAGTTTGAGGCGCAAAAAAAAAATGAAAAAGTTGGAATTTGAGCAGAAGCAACTTGATTTCGAAAGAGAAATGATGCTTAAAAATCCAAATGATGCTCCAATAGCAGCAGCAAAAGCATGGATCATTGATCAACAAAATGAAATTTATGCACGTTTCAGTAAAAGGGGTAGTTTGTGAAACCATTTAATGTAATTTTCTTTTTCTATCTATGGGAAGCTTGTAATGTAATTTTTTTTTTTCTATATGTGGGAAGTTAATGTAATGTAATTTTCTTTTTCTATCTGTGAGAAGCTAAAGTAATTTTTATTTATAAATCTTCCCCATCTGAATGTGACGATATAGCTTGGGAAGAAGACAAAAAATTATTAAATTCAAATTCAAATTTTTTATTTTATTTTATTTTTAAATTAAATTAATAAAATAATAAATAGAGAATAAGATAATTGGATTCCACACTGTTGATGCGAAAATCCTCACGACTCGGAACGATGCCGTTTACCTGCAAAACAAAGGGACGTCACCTCGAATGGCACCGGTAGGGTGCCGGCCGACAGTGGCGTAGCCAGAAATTTTCTTCAGTGGGGGCAATTTTTAACAGCAATAATATATATATATAATTTGAACCAAAATATATATATATATTATTTGAATATATTATTTGAACCAAAATAATATATGTAAAAATTAAACAGTACTAAATTTTTCAGAATATTTTTCATACTCTGAAAATACGCAGTCGAGTTTTAAAAATGTTCATGGCATAACAATAGTAGATTTAAATGATAAAAAATTATATATTAGATTACCTATCTCCGCACTGCAGTATTTGTTTAGATTTTGAAAATTAACAACGCATTTGTTTATGCTAAAGTCATAAGTTAGAGAGAATATCTTGTATTTTTGAAGAAAGTGTGAAAGAATATAATATTTTAAGAAAGTGAAAAAAAATATCATATTTTTTTGTAAGATTATATTCCTTTAATATCATATTTTTTGGAAAGATTATATTCCTCTTTTGGAAAGATTATGTGCATTGTCAACTTTTAGTGGGGACAATTATAGAAATATAAAAATCTTTCTATATAAAATTAAAAAAAAAAATTTAAAAAATTAAAAATTTAGTGGGGGCAACTGCCCCCACTTGTCCCTATGTGGCTACGCCACGGCCGGCCGAGGACCTTCCGATGATCAAGTTAGTACTTGTAATCGTATCACATAATAATTATGTATATTCTGTTTAGGGATTTTTTCTCGTACCTTCTTTAAGGGCTTGGTGCCCTATTTATGACTGTTGATTGGAATCCAATTGGTTCCACCGATGTCGATAGTTGATCTTATCTTCCGCTTGTGCTAGATCATAGGAGATTTGTTGCCAGATTTGTCAGGATATGAATAATCCTTTTGACCTCCTCCAATTATGATAGGATTATTCTTACCGTATTGAACCACGTCAGATTTCATTATCCTTTATAATGAAATCTAATCAATCTTATCGAGGATAGGGTAGGTTTATATTTTTCCCTATCACACACTATGAAACATATGGATTAAAAAAAAAATAATAAAGTACCACATCATCACTTTTTAACTTACGTGACACTTTACATATTAAAAAGTAGATAAATAACCTTATGTGCCTTATGTGCCCACGCCACTTGCTCTAATACACACCGCATCTATGAGTGTGCATTTATACAGTAGTAATAATCTCTTGTTCAGTGTGTGTGTGTATGTGTGTGTGTATATGTATATATATATATGTATATATGTCTTACTCATCACGTGATTGATGTGTAAGAAAAATAAAAAATAAAAGTAACAATTACTAAAAAATATATATATATAACAATCACGTCCTATCATCACCATGCTTTTGGCGTGGAGATCATTTCTGTGTATATATGTGTATATATAACGTATACGTAGTATATAGAAAGAGCAAAATGTACGGACCTTGAGAATCGTGGTCGAAAACCAACCAAGCATTTGGAGGTTACTCCCCCAATGAAAACGACCTTCAAGCACTCACTCCATTATGGTGTAAAAATCAAAGCAATGAATATAAGGAGAGTGTTACGACAATCACAGTAGAGAGAGAGATTTGAAGAAATTGAGTTTACGGTTTTTTCGGCGCTGGTTGGGGACGAGATCAGGGTTAAGGGCTTGAAGAAGGCAGCGACGTGCTTTATCAGCATCTTATCGATCGTCCTCATCTTTGTATGCTTGTCTTTGATTGAAGTAATTGATTGGGATCTTCGTCGTTGTTTCATCCGCCCGCCGGCGAGACTTCCCGATTACCAGAGGACGGACGAATATCCTGGACCTGGTTTAAGCTCCTTCCTTTGATTCGAACGGATGTTACCTCTCAGTTTGTTTTAGCGATTCATTTCCTCTTCCTCGCCTGGTTAGGTGTTGCCTTAGTTGGGCTCAGGCTTTTTGTCAGGTCTCTTTTGTAGCTTGTGTTCCAGCCCAATGGGCTGTTTGGCTTTGGGCCAAGCTCTACTACCGTACTACTACAACCATAAATTTTGTGGGTAAAGATGTCAATTTAGACATTAGAAGGGTAGGCTAGAACACAAAGCTACTTACACCCCATCTGTATTTGTCAATGAGGTTAAAGATGTCAATTTAGACATTAGAAGGGTAAAATTGACCTTCTAACAAATTTCTCATGCTGACATCAGCACACACCGCTAATTGCTTAACGGTAGGAGGTAACTTGCTACATATGATCAAAGGTCAGGGGGTGTGCGTGGAATATTGAAACCTAGAGGGGTGTCAATGGGATACGGTCAAAGGTCAAGGGGTGTAAGTGGAATTAACCCTTTCATAAAACTCTCGCTGCTTTCAAATTTTGATCATAAACCCCCAACCTGTTTCAGAAAATCTCTTACATTTTAAAAAGTGATCAAAATACCATGAGATTCGTGTCTGACCCATTAACCCGTTTGTGAACTGACAAATTTTACCTTATTATTTAATGTTAAATTTAAAACTAAAATGAATTTTTTTAAATTACGGAAATAATTTAGAGAAAGGGTGAGTTTGTAATTAGGGTTACGAATATTGAGGGAATTTGATCATTTTTTAAAGTGTAGGGAATTTTCTGAAATAAGTTGAAGATTTATAATCAAAATTTAAAAGTAATAACAGTTTTATGAAATTAGCCCTAGAAATAACTTATTATTATTGACTCATAATTTTATATCATCAAAGTTTCAAATTCGCGACTGAGAATTTACAGCCTTAAGGTAATAATCGCTTTGGCTATAAATGAGCCTAGTGTTCGAAAAACGAGCTCGGCTCAATAATAGCTCGGGCTTGACAATTACCATTTGGAATTTGAGTGATTAAAACTTTAAAAACTTGATAATATTTCTTCCTATTAAAATTTGAACAAAAACTTAAAACCTTATATTCTTTATTTATTTATTTATTTATTTTTATTTAACTAAATGAAATATATATATATATATCTATATATATATATATGAAGTTCTTGCTTGCTTGATAATTGTCGCTGTGTAAAATTATAATATATATATATATATATATATATATAGACTATAGATAGATATAGAGAGAAAATAATGAATTAGGACTTTCTGACTCATCAACCATAGATTATAACTTCTACCGCGAAGAACTATAAATTGGTGTGTCAGTACAATCAGATGTACCGCAGAAAGACCAGCAGTTGAAATACATGAACAAGGCTACTAAGCTAAAACTCCATTAATACATTTGCTCATTTTGACAAACATCATTGAGAGAGAGAGAGAGAGAGAGAGAGAGATATTAATAAAAACAAGAAGAGCAAAAAGTGAAAAAAAATAAATAATAATAAGTGAGTATAGTCCATTTAAAAGTCCCATTTTGCCAGCTAGAGGCTTTTGGTTGGCAACAACACATGCTTGCGATATTCTGCAAGCGCCCAAAGAGGAAAGATGCTCCTATGCGTGGCGTAATGTAGAATACAAGTTTTCAAGGAGGCCCCAGTGATGTCCTGTGAGCGATCAAACATTTCAGAGTTTAGAGAGGCTTTTCTTGTATTGTATTCATAAAATAAGAAATACTGTAATATGGAACTTATATACAATTGGTCCATCATAGAGCCAGATTTCCAATGTGACCTCCTCTTTGTTTACATGTTGTGTATTTGTGGTTGTGTGTAAAACTCTAACATGAAGCAGATTACCTGTTGAGGAAATTCACCACTTTCCATTTGCGAGTTTATTAATAGCTTTGCGGCTTTATGTAACGGTGTTGCATCTCTCTCAGCCTAGATAACAAGAAAAATAGATTGAGAATTAGCTCAATTGACTTGTTTCATTGATTGAGTTACGAAAGAAGGACTAGCAGACTTGAAAATTTTATATGATCGTTGCACGATACTTTTGTGTATCATGATTTTCTATAATGTAAGCATTTTGGGGGCAACAAAATTGACTTCAATAGTACTCTTTAATCAAAGCTCAGAATTGAATCCCAAATCTAAGCCTACTCATACATATTTCTCATGTTTTTTCTTTGACACTGCAGTAACATTGAATTCAGAACAAACCTGTCCAGCATGAATAAGAGCCATCATAGCCCATGATGTTTGTACTAAATGCGAACGGTTTCCTTCCAACGGTGTATATTCCTGTTTCACCAAATTCTAGTAAAAATGAGTAAACAAACCATATATGTATAAAAATCATGTCTAATATAGCAGGGGAACCGACAATTTTCTGTGTTTGTATTCGTAAAAATTAGACAATGTACATGAACATTGACAAGGCCATAGTTATAGGGCATGACCAAATAGAAAATTAAGGTATGCCAACTTACCTTATTTGGGCATGAAAGATAACTCTCTCCCCAACCACCTGTGTCCTGTTGTGTTGAAAGCAAAAACTGACAGGCTTTCCGGACTGTTTGGCTACTGGAATATGTCTTGCCACCAGCAACTAGTCCTCCCAAAGCATACCATGTCCCATAGGTGAAGCAAATTGCCCAATTCCCATACCTGTCAATGAATTTCCGTTATGTTTTGTCAAATTACCATAAAATAAAATGTTGTTGTTTATTGTTCTTGTTTGGGAAACTCATGGCCACTTCTAAATTCACAGACAACTTCAGAAGTATAGAGAGAATCACCAAGAACCGTCCAGGTTTTGCATATCTTCGATATAACGTATTGCTTTTGCAACAGAAATTTCTATTTCTTTCGCTTGGTGTGTTGGATATAAAATTTTGAACAATACTAGAGCTTGGACTACAGATGCTGTACATTCAACATACCTAAACCAACAACTAGTCAATGTTAAAAGAGCATCCATGGTATAAAATTCTTTGACAGGAAAAATTTAAATTGAAACGACACTAAAATCTTACTCATGCTCAATGAAAGCATTTGCAAATATTTCAGAAGGATTTAACCACTGAGTAAAAGAAAAAGAAAAATAAAAGAGAATAAGCACCTCAAATTGTTGCATTAATTAAAAAATTGAAACCCAAAAGGTTAATTACACTGGATGAGATCATGTGTTATCCTGATACTATTTATTGTGGATGTAAAGAAATTACCTCCCACCATGGTTGTAATGTTGGTGGTTCCCAAATTGCAAACCCTCCAGTTTTGGCCTAGAAGAAGAAGAAAAATCAAGGAATCAAAAACAAGAGAGTCGAATAGTTGCCAAAAAAGGCCTTGTGAATATCCATTAGATGATATATCAAGGGAAAAAATTATTTGTACCTGTAGAGGAAGAAGAAAATTCACAGCATCATATAATCGCTCAGCTTCAATTTTTTCTCCCACCACCTCTGGCGACATTTGTGAAAGTAGAAGAAGAGCCTGTAGAAGAAGATACAAATGTGACAACATACATAATTAACTTTGTATTGTTATAATATACTAAACAAGTGGACTTAAATTACCTTTAATGCTTCAGCTGTACAATCTGAGACTTGCCAACCTTGATCTCTTTCAGAGAGAGTCCAAGCTCCTTTAGAAATGTGACGATACATACTCCTAAAGTCACCGGATGGGTTTTCTCGAACCTTCAAATGGTTTAACAATGAGCACACAGTATATATACAAGGTCAATGTTATAGTTTATCCTAGATATTATTGGTCAAATACAAATAAGGAGAAGAAGAAAAAACCTGTGATTGTTTAATGAAATCATGAGCCTTTTTCAGGGTAGTTCCAAACTCATCAACAAGACCACTCGCAATAATTGCTTGAGTAACAAACGCACAGTCCCATAACTGGCAGCCAAGATTCTGCATTAAAGCAAAGAATTAGAAGATAATATGCAGTCATAGCAAAGATATACAAAATGTGCTATTTTTCAGGATTAATAATTGATTGACTAACAAACCTGCACTTTCATTCCATCTTCAGCAATCCACAAGTAATCCGGAACTCTAGCTAGGTGAAACTTGAATGTGTTTGAATTTGGTTCTTCTGCCCAACAAGCCATCATGTGGAAGAACTGTAGACATGAAACATTTAATCATCATAAGCAATTAAGTGCAACCCAAATCAAACAATTTGGAGGTGGCATATTAGTGAAAAAAAAAAATCAATTTGGAGCATCCCAGTTGACAATTTTACACAAGATGGACTCATGCTTTCTTTTTTTATGTTTTGATTTCAGATACCAAGTCATGTAAGTTAATTAAAGCTTGAGTAACCATGATGGACAAGCACAGACATGGCTGCATTGTGGCCTTAACAACCTGGTTCCACATATTTATCAGCTCATATTCAATCATGTCTTTGCACACAACCATGAGCAACTATAGTTGTATGCATCTTTAATTTCCTTATTTCTGGCTTTAGCTATTTCTGTGCACTCCTTAAAAATTGTCTATATAATATATATATATATATATATATATATGTATGTATATAAATGTAGTCATGTGGGATTAAGGCAGGGATGACGATTAGTCCATTTTTTTCGCAATATACTTAGTTACCTTTAAAACACACGCCAAATTTAAATATCTACTATTCTCAGCTTCGTAGTGAAGGTGCTTTATTGTTTTCTGTAGAGCTCTCTCTCTCAGCTTGGAAAAGGGCCAATGTGATAAAAGTGTCTCGCCAATGTAATAAAAGCCATTCCAAAGCAAATCTTGAATGAATGGACGAGGGTAGTAGAGATCATCCTGCATTGAATATAAAACAAAATCACTAACCAAAACATATACACTTTTTTTATCACGTATAGAGTTCATTAATACTTCCTCAAATTTTAAACAAAGGCCTAAAACCCAGCCTTAGATCAAATATTAACCAACCTTCAAGCACAAGTGGCGTGCTCTTTTCCAAATTATTGTGTCATAAGGCTCATTATAAAGTTCCTTTCTCAATGATAGAATGAGATCGGTGATCGGCCCAACATATTTCTTCCCGTATAAATAAGACATGGCCATGTATATATCACGGCAATAGCACCACATTCTTGCTGCATCAATTGCATATTTTCAGTAATGTGAAGACCAATGCAATTAGTACAAACCTATTTAAATACAAACAGTTTTTCTAATCACATCTTTTACTGTATAGAAGATACAAATGTCCTGCTTGTGTCTATAAATAAGAAAAGAGGATGAGAAAAGGTAGATTTTTTAGTATTATCTTCAATGCAATGCACTTCACCAGTAAAATGAAGTCTGTCCTAAAGTACGAGGGTACACACAAAACTTTAGGCCATTGCATTGAGAAATTAAAACCCCTAACTTACAAGGTAGATACGAAGGCAAAAGCCAGAATTCCGGTGGCAATGGGTTGCAACCTGACCATTCATACACTCCAAGCACCTATAAAATAAGAAATAAATGCTGATTAATCCAACAAAAAAGAGGTTGACACTAATTTCAAGAAGGTTATACATAATTGATAATACTACACTTATATGTAGCACTACCCACATTACTCTCAAATTTTAATTTACTTAATGCTCCAACAGGGCAGGAAAAAACTCCTAGGTTTCATGCTATCCAATCTTGCACGTACTATATACTAACTTAATACTAGACTTATTTGTTCTTACCCAAAACTCAAATTCATTTTACTTGTGCAGCAATGAAAAAGTTAAGCTATTCATGAATTTTCTTGGAGAGAATTTGAATATGTTAATTTACCGAAAGACATATCTTTCCCCAAAAGGGTATCATTGTTAGGCCGCCATGATCAAGTATCCATGTCCGGGCTTTTGCAACAGCGCCATCTTCACCGTCTCCGGTTTCTTCTCCAAGCATACGCAAGGCAATGTAGTTATATGCTGTGGTAATCATCATGCTATGACCCTCTATATGCAATCCCCATCCACCATCTTTGTTCTACATCACACATTTAATATCACTAGTTCCATCAAATGCATAAAATTAACATTTTCAATATCCATACAAGATATATATATATATATATATATATATATATATATATATAAAGAGATTTTATACACTACCTGATGATTATAGATGCATCGAACAATCTCCTTTCTGTGTTCCAGTGATAGACAAACATTGATTGTTCCGGTGAGATATAGAACCATGACCTGCATATTGTAATACATATATCAAACAATTTCCATAGTACAAACAATAAGGAAATTAGATTTTAGTGACCAAACCTCAATAAAATTGCAACCTCAAGAAAAGATGAATAGTCATCAAATTAAACACTTAAATTTTTGTCAGACAACTTAAATATCTCCCCCAATTCTCTCGTTACACCACCAAACATGTTGCTCATCAACAACCAGCTTTTGATCAACCTAGTTGAAACTTGAAAGGGCAAAAGCCATTGGCAGCTAAATTTCACTACACAGACTTTGAATTCTTTTATGCTATTTTTGGGATGTACTGGATTGGAGTAGGAGAAAATTTAGTTTGCACAGATTCTGTGCTTCCAAACACAACATTAGGGTTTCTTAACTTCTTATTTGGAGATTAACAAGTAAAGGGAAGGTAATGAATATTTGGAGACTTTGAGAATTTGTAGGAGAGGCCAAAAGGCCATAATCCGACAGGCATGGAGAAGGATCGATCAATTCCACTTAGAAGAACAACATGAGCAATATATTCTACGAGCTAGTTCTGTGTCAATCTTAATCTTATCGCCTTCTGATACCTCCTCCGTGCCCGGCGGCGCAACCTCCGCCGACGCCCACAGCAACCACCATCACTGCCCTAGGACAGGGCCTCGACGGCTCCGTCCTCCCTCTCACATTCATTTTGGAGCATTCAATCCCCTTATCACTATTCTTTAAAAAACTTTTTTTTCAAATAAATAAAATGAATTTCTATATCTTTTATTCATTTATTTATTTATCCCATTTGAGCAGATAAAGTAGCACTAGAATATGATAGGAATAATTACCAAGTGAGGTGTATAAAATAGGGGGCCTGAATTTTCAGCAGGCCAGTGCCCATCATGTGCTTGAATGGCTGAAACTGATCGAACAGCTTTCCTCACAGCGGTCGTAACTATTTCATTCGTTACTTCGCCGTTGTCTCTCAATTTCACTTCTTCTATTATGTTTAGATCAACTTTGTTTTCTCTCGTAAGCTGTGCATAAAAGAAAAAGAAAAAGAAAAAAAAATTAATAATAATAATTTAAGTTAATTGGGTTAAGAGTATAAGTAATTTTCTTTTTATTATTTTTTTTAAATTTCAAGCCAACAAACGTCCACTCGTCATGCCTCTACCAATACCCGAACACTTAACTTTCTCATTCGAGAGAAGAGTTTATACTAAATGGATTACTAATCATTGGTACGAAGAGAATATAACGACGCCAACTTTAAACTAAAAATATTAGAGCTAATAAAAAATTTACTGTGCAATAAATGGGGAAGCCGAAAGTTTCGAAATAAATGAGAATCTTTGATGAGAAGGGTACTAGTGTACCACTCGTCCAAATACTCCCAAATATTATAAAAAAAATTTGTGAATGTAACTTTTAGTTCCAAAAATCACCGTGGACAATTTTTATTGGTTAGTGTCAATTTTGTAACATAAATTGAACAAAATCCAATCTTATATACCTTGCGTATTATAAGGGAAAATTGAAAAAACTCTCCCTAAACTATCTTATATTTACAAATAACCCCCTAAATTGTTAATATGCCAATAACTTCCTAACTTAATTTCAGTTTGCTGTTAAAAAATGAATGATTTATTTATTTATACTTTTAAGAAAAATGTAATCATTATGTAAAGAAAAATTAAGAATCCTGTGGTTCAGTGGTATCTCTTATATCTCTCAAAGTGAATGGTGAGAGTTCGAGTCTCCAAATGAATAAAGTAAAATGTGTGAGTGGGTGTGTATTTTTTGTCAATAAAAAAATATATATATTTATAAAGAAAAACCATACGGCCACAGTGAAAGTCACTAGTGTATTTATATATATATAAGTAAAGCAATTCTACAAAGAATTAATATATCAGAAACCAAATAATTCAAATAATCTAAGAATGGTAATTTAGTGGTAGTTCTTCACCTTTCGAAGTTAAATTATAAAGAGTTTATAAACAAAACGAGTACATGAATTTCTTGTCAAAGTTAAATAAAAATAAAATAAAAAAAAAAAACAAAACAAAACTAGGAAAAACAAAAAAGAAAAACAAAATTCTTACCTGTAATCGCATTAAAAGATCGCTGCTTGGCTTAACTTGAAATCGATTTTTATAGTATTCTTCCCGGGCTTTTTCGACTTGTTCTCGCTCTTCCAGTGTCCCAATATCAGGTTCGAACTCCCATATTTGTCTCCCAACAAAATTGTTGGTGCTAAACAACCATGGCCCATTCCCTTCTGCTATCTTAAGCTTCCACATATATATATATATATATTACAATATTAAGCTCAAATTATCACCTCAAACCCTGCACTTGAAAATACAATGCTAAAAGATAGTTTAATATCCAAAACAATATAATTTTCTTATCATAATATATATAGCTAATAATAAATAAATAAAAATAAATAGAGAGAACCTGTATCCAAGTCCAAACAATTTCTGCATAGCATGAAGCTCTCAGTGGCCTCATATATATGGACTTTACAACATGCAAATCAATGGCCTCGATCGTGTGTGTAATAGAAGTAATACAAACACCAACTTTATTGATTTGAAAAAAATACCATCCTACAAAAAGAAGTTAATAACAACTTTATAGTAAATAATCCTACCATTAGTGTATGTGGCACAAATACCTATTCCAACGCATTTACAATTTTCCGCAAAGCAATGAATGCACTATGTATATAACGAATATGTATATATATATATATATATAGGAATGAGTAATGCTGCCGTGTGGCCGATAGCGATCATACTGTTGGGAAACGTGCAAGTTTTAAAAACTTTTCGAGGGATTTAAATTCATAGATCTTGATTCATTACATAGAGACAAGTTTTATGCAAAAAAAAATAAAATATGATGTATTATTCAACTAAAAGATTGAATACTTACATCAAGGTTTGAGTAAACCTCAGATCTCTCCTCTAAAGTGAATGTTCTCACTTATTGTAGATCCCTTTTGCTAGACATTTTTTCCATGGATCTCCATCTTCTTGGTAATGGTCTTGCCTTTAGGAATCACTCATAAGCCTCCATGAATGACCTTGGAAAACTAGGCTTGTGGGAGCCTCCATTAGATGAGAACATAAACCCTAATTTTCTAGAGAGAGAAAATTTATTCCTTTTTCCTTCTCATAAAAATCACCCCCTAAAATATACATAGACCATGTATATTTATAGACAACATAAAAATAAAGAAAAGGAAAAAACAAATCCTTCTCCATCTCTAATTCATATGTCTCAAATCTAATATGATTCCAATATCAAGTTGGGCTATGAGTGAGAATCCATTGGGCCTATTATTTTATTGGCTACAATGAATTAATAATTGGCCCGGTCCATGGACCCAATTCAATTAATTCATAAATTAATTTCTACTCCACTAAAAGAAATTAATTGAACTCCAATTAAATAATAAATAACCTCTAAGTCAATATTGCACTTTGACCCTTCTATACATAATTAGTTATCGGATAAATATAGCCATCAATCCGACTACTTAATTAATATATTTATTTTGGTACCTTTGATTATTTATGGCTCGATCACAATAAAACATTTGTTTGACAAAAATAATAATTTAAATAAATAAATATATAATAAATCATTTTGTCTAAAAACACACGAAGGCCTTCGAATTTACTTTGTGATCAACCATAATCAATACAAAATAAATACAAGTAGCAATGATGCAAATATTGAAAATATAACCCTCTAACTATTAATTACATAACTACCCAAAGTGTCGGTCTAAGGATCCCGAAGAATCCGCCGAACAAATCAAAGTAATTATTAATTAATAAAAGAGTCTATACTTTTCTCATGCTTAAGAGTCAAATGCCATGACGGTGATAGGGAGTAATTGCATACGACGGCTCTCGCAATATATCTCAACCTAACGCGGATCCAGTTCAAGTCTTAATTAATTATGAGTCCATCCATAATTACCGACTATGAACAATTTATAATTACTATTTATATATCATGCATTGATTGTCATCACATACATATATATAAATATTTCTTGTAATTACATGGACACTCTCAATTTCATAGTGAATCGAAACATAATACATTGAATTCACCAATTATATAAATCATAAATATTTCAGATATGTCAGGAACATATGTCACTATAATCCAGATAGGAATTTGCTATGCCAGGGCATATAAATCCGAACAGCTCCCACTTGCCCTCATAGCCAATTCAAATTGCACCTAACTCCAATGTTATCCAGATGATGATCAAAATTATTGATCAATGACACCTTTGATAATGGATCAACAAAGTTGTGTTCCAATGCAATGTTCTAACTACAAGTGCATTTTCTTGCCGGACAATATCATGTAGAACATGATACTTCCTCTCAGTGTATCTTGTTCCTCTATGGAACCTTGGATCATTGGTTTGGACTACTTCTGCACTATTGTCACAACATAGCTCAATAGGCAGGCTAGTATACTCCACAACCTCTAAATCAGTGAGATCAAACTAATAGGCTTCCTTTGCCGCCTTTAAGGCTGCAATATATTCCACCTACAGGTTTGAGTCAGCAGTTGAAATCTGCTTAACAATCTACCAACTGATCTCCCTTCCATTAAGTGAACATACACTAAGTCATGAACCTCATAGTATCTACTTCTGATTGAAAATCAGAACTAGCATACCTGACTAGGACCATATCATTTACATCCATAAATGAGTATGATATCATTGATTCTCCTTAGGTACTTAATGATATTTTTCACAACAGACCAGTTGTCAAGTCCAGTATTGGACTGATCTCTACTGACTATCCCTACTATGTAGCGGATGTCCTGTTTGGTATAGACCATGGCATATATGAGACTCTTATATGCCGAAACATATTGTTCCAGTCCCATTTGCTCAATCTCCTTTGATAGTCTTGAAAAACTACTTATTAGAGAGAGCCATCCATATCAATAAAGCAAGAACTCATTCTTTGAGTTATGCATACCAAACCTGGTCAAAACTTTATCAATGTAGGATTATTAAGATAAGCCTATTTTCCTTTTAACCTGATCTTGCAAAAGCTTGATCCTAGGAATATAGCTTACATCTTGAAATTCCTTCATTTAAAAGTAATTGAACAACTACCTTTTAATTGATGACAAAACTTCCACGTCATTATGAATGAGTAGGATGTCATCAATATATAGAATTAAGAAAAATAATGACATTCCCTTGTACACTCATGATTTATTCACTAAGAAATCTTCTGGTATCTTTTTGTAGATTAACTTGCCTTCCATAGGAATCACCCTACTAGAAAGTTCTACAAGATCCCAGAATTTATTAGAATACATAGATTCCAACTCTGATTTCATAGTAACTCACCAAAACGATCTGTATCCACATCGGTTCACGCTTCCGTGTAGCTTACTGGGTCCAACTCATGTTTAACAGGGATGTCCATAATGGTCTCACCTAAAAACATGATTCTGTCGAATTGGATGATAATCCTCCCACTACATCAATGTACCGATGCAAGAATCTGTGTAGTAGATGATGCTAACGCATCAATAGGGAATTCATATATTATTCTCAATCTCTATAATAAGTGTGTTCACATGTGGTACATCTGGTACTCATACCAAATTCTCTAACATTATGCTACTAGGAATGTGATTCATAATATGATTCTCCTATAGATAAACAGTGAGTGAAAACAATTAACTTTTATCTTTGAGATCATAAAATAATCTA